ATGGGCTAATCCTTGGATCGATGTTTTATGCGACTCAACTGATCATTCCTCTCTTGCTGCGCTGCCACGTGCAAATGACTTAACACGTAACACATCCACTGCATCAGATCTGGGCCCACTTGCACAAAGCGATCTTAGTGCTAAGATGATCTTACTCCCATACTCTAACTAGGGTTACAATAGTCTTAGCACTAAGATCGTTTTGTGCAAGTGGGACCTGGATTTATAACCCAATCGTAGATTAAATAATTACCCCAGACATAATTCGAACCACTGAGTGCTTTATTACCTTGACACTCTCATAGGCAGCGGTGACCGTTATTGAGATATTTTGCACTCTTTTTCAGGTAATACGAGTAGTTCCACCACTAATTATACTTGTAATAAAGTCATTAACTGGGCATCAAGTGAATGACGACAAATACACAAGTGGAGGGTTATATACCAGGGATGGCAAGAAGGGAGTAGTTTTATATGCAATTTGCCTGAAAGATAAGGGCCATTGTTACATAAATAACACGTACACGTATTTTCTGTATAGCAAACTACATAACTGCACATACACATTTAAACACGCAGATGAATTTGCAAGGTGAAAGGTTATGGTCAGCATCATCCAATCAAATGCAAGGATTCAAGGGGATTAACCCTCGCTGTCAACGAGGTTGTCCAGTTGGTCCCTCACTGGTCAGAAGCCCGGTTTGTAGGGTCGCTGTAGACTAACATCTGGGCCCACTTGCACAAAGCGATCTTAGCGCTAAGACTATTGTAAGCCTATGTTAAAGTATGGGCGGTACGATCATCTAAGCGCTAAGATCGCTTTGTGCAAGTGGGCCCTGGTCTCTGAAATGAACATATCGTACAGAAAAAAACAGTCCGGTTATCTTAATAAAAATATAATAAAAGGGAGCCCAGTGACTATCTTCATTTCAGATGCTGCAGTAATATATAGACTTGCCAAACATCATAGACTTGCATGGGCTGTATTTGATATATATTTGTATCAGGGTCTGTAAGACAGACTAGGGTCGCTGTCGCGAATTGGATTCTGGTGATAACGCGGGCTAATTAAAATGGCGCCGGCTAGACGACTGAAAGTTGGAGTGTTGTTTCCCTTTAAATCAAACACTTTGATTAAAAGGAAGCCATTCCCCTATAATCTGAAAATAGACTATCACAAGTGTTTGGCCTTTGTTTGGTCCGACTAAAAATTAAAAACATCACAGATATATAATCAAATGTGTTTTCATCTATAGTATTTTATCTACCGACTACAACTTTATGTCACATTTCACTGTATTTTAAACGAACGCGTAGGTTAAAGTTCAGCCCTTATACCGTATTGTCTCAAGAAAATCTTTGTCACACGTGTTTAGTCCTGGGTGTCAAAATGGACTTACACGTCACAAATGGACCACGGTGGGTTTTTTAATACATAGACGGCTTGGTCTGGGCATTTAAAGGCAACACCAGCCTCACAGAGGTATCATGGAAAGTGTTGAATAGAAAATACTATAATACCTACTTAAGTTTCGCATATCATGATATGTATAGCAAACACGTTGCTCAAAGTGAAGCCCTTTTTTCCCATACTCTCAACATTGTCTCTATCACCAGAAAGCCCAGAAATGGGCTTCACACATTATACCCATGTCGGGAATCGAACCCGGGTCTTCGGCGTGACGAGCGAACGCTTTAACCCACTAGGCTACCCGACAAGAAAAAAGAACTTATTTATCGATATTGCTGGTCATAGCAACTGCACGTTTTGTTACATTATAGTATTCTGACAGTTTAAGTTGAATATTTTGAAAAGTTGTCAGTCTTTTTTGTTTATTTTCATAAATGAGTTTTTAACAAATATAACCAATATCATATTTAAAGGGTCATTATTTCTTTCCGGGAAACCAAGAAATATGTTCTTCTTGTTAAGAACGATTTTTAGACCGTGGTGGTGAAAGCACAAAGTTGCTCAACGTGAAACCCTCTTCCCATACTATCAACATATTCTGTCTTAAAGGGCAAGTTCACACGGAAATTAACCTATTTTTCTTGTACTTTTTCCACATTAAAAGTGTTAACCTAGAAGTGTCATAGACAAAAATATAAAAATATCACAATTAATTAACATATTTTTCGCATTAAAACGATTTATATTTTTCACATTTACCAAGTGTTCTATTTCCACAACAAAAACACCATGGCTTATGCCCCTTGCAATATGACGTCATTGGTGCCAATTGATAAACATTTTGACGTCATCATGATTTGTTAGAGCCGCTTCACGTGGTGTAGGTCTAGGTGTGTGATTCTAGCGTCTCATATGCCAGCCAGCATAGTGTTATGCTGAGTCACCACTGCGCCGGAGTGTGTCGTAGGCCATGTTGTTTTACCGCAAACTGGTACTTGATATCTTTTGCGTTGAGAATAGACAGGGACCCAGTTGAATTGGCACCAATTACGTCATAATCTAAGGGGGATAACTCAGGCCTGTTTAGCTCGAAAAACGAAGGCCTCATAACGGCATATCATTTTCACACTATTGTGAGCTTCCTACTTTCACTGTGAAAAAAATGAGTGTATATTTTCAAACACAGATACTAATTAATTCTAAAATTGCGTTTTGTTTAGAAAAAGAAAGAAAGTGATTTTTGCGTGTACACTTCCCCTTTAAGTGTTCGGTCCGATTTTTTCGGTGCGTCAAAATCAACTTATACGTCACAGACATATGAAACGTGTTTTCACCTGTTGAATAGTCAGGTAAATTCCAAAATGTAGCAATATGAAATATGGCTCACTGCCAAAGATGATTGAGAAGATTGTGCAGTGAGAATCCAACATCAGGAGCTAACGGGAAGATGGAGCTAAATTTGCTAGTGGACAAACAAGATAAGTAATGCTTGTGTCGTCATCTCACATCGTTATCCCTATCATAAGACATAAATATCCCATACGCATCAATCACCATAACATGAAACCAGTTTGTTGTTTATATTACCAAATACATATCTCAAATTTCATATCAAACATCGAATTTGTTGTCATAAAGTTCGTAGAAAACTATTTTAGATTTCAACTTTTATCACTAAATCCTCATTTTGCAGAAGCCCTTTTGTTTGTGAATTTGTTGTTTAAAGCCGCTGTCAGCAATATTCCATCTATATGACGGCGGTCTGTAAATAATCGAGTCAGGACCAGACAATCAAGTGATTGACATCATGAGCATCGATCCACGCAAGTCAGCGACCCTGACCATCCGATCCGTTAGTCGCCCCTTACGGCAAGCATGGGTTGCTGAAGACCTATTCTACCCCGGATCTTCACGGGTCTATGGAATGACGAGGCAAGATAGAACACTAGTCCCGTTACTCGCCTTTACGACAAGCGCAGTCGCCTTTTATGGCAAGCATGGGTTGCTGAAGACCTATTCTACCCCGGATCTTCACGGCAAGTATGGGTTGCTGAAGACCTATTCTATCCCGGATCTTCACGGCAAGCATGGGTTGCTGAAGACCTATTATACCCCGGATCTTCACGGCAAGCATGGGTTGCTGTAGACCTATTCTACCCAGGATCTTCACGGCAAGCATGGGTTGCTGAAGACCTATTATACCCCGGATCTTCAGGGCAAGCATGGGTTGCTGAAGACCTATTATACCCCGGAACTTCACGGCAAGCATGGGTTGCTGAAGACCTATTATACCCCGGATTTTCACGGCAAGCATGGGTTGCTGAAGACCTATTATACCCCGGATCTTCACGGCAAGCATGGGTTGCTGAAGACCTATTATACCCCGGATCTTCACGGCAAGCATGGGTTGCTGAAGACCTATTCTACCCAGGATCTTCACGGATGCTTCTCGGTAGTATCAACACCAGCAGATGTAGTTATATTAATATTATGTTGATTTTAATACATCGCTAATTCGAGCTCTTGACATCAATGAATTAATTATTGATTATTTCTTCGTCTTACAAACGGATGTAAAGAGATATAAAAGGTTGTCCTATATAACGTACATAATTTAGATATAGCTACTCACAGCATTGATTTTCCCCGTCTCATAGAAGGATGTAAAGAGTTATAAAAAGGGTGTCCTAGATAGATAATAGAATTTAAATATGGCTACTCATTGCGTCTCGTTTCGTAATGACATCCGCCGAGACTATACCGTTTACAGTACAAAGACTGCTCCCATGACAAACGCTCTTTATATGCCAATACGTTTGCGTGTCGTTACCCCCGTGAAGATTCGGGTTAGAAGTGGTCTCCATCAACCCTTGCATATCATAAGAGGCGACTGACGGGATCGGGTGGTCAGGCTCGCTGACTTGGTTGATTCATGTCATCGATCCCAACTGCGTAGACCGATGTTTATGTCAATCACTGGATTGTCTTGCTCTGACTCGATTATTTACAGACCGTCGTCATATAGCTGGAATATTGCTGAGTGTGGCGTTAAACAACAAACACACAAGCAACCAGAAAACGAGCAAATAAACAAACCGCGTGGTTGCGATAAGCATTTTATCATGTGGACCAGCATCCCTTGGATAAACGCCAACAACGATTACAACGCGGTAAAGATATTTTTCATTTTGTCTCAATTAACAATGTCTGCGTTTAGTGATGAGGATAAACTGTTATCATTGTCTTTCTGTTCATAGAAGCAAGGAATGCTGGTAACCAAGGCGATACATCTATATGGATCAAGACAGCTGTACCCACAACAGGTGTCTATTTTATTTCACGTTTGGGAATTCAAACCTGCCATCACCGAGCCGTCCTTGCAAGAAGTCTATTCTTAAATAATTTGTTCAAATCACCATTTCTTCATCGTTAAAGTAATGTGGATTCTCGCAGACAGTACATATATACAACTCCGATGTACAACGAGCAATACTACGGCATATACCCGTATGCTATACCAAATGAGACGATTGATTTGCAAGAATACCTCAACCATTGTCTTTCATAAACCATATGGACATCCACGTACCCCTAGTTTTCCAAACGGCCGGTGGCGAAGAATTCGGCTGTCGATGTCGAAGAGCTGTTGAGTAATATCTCCGCCATTACGTATCCCGGTCGATAACAGCTCCTGCGAATATGTGTCAGCGCGCGACGGGTTCCGTCTCGCTCTGGTTCCAGGAACTGTTGCTGGCGTCTATGTTCATGGTATTTATAGATTAACTCTGTTTATCCATCTTTCCGTGTGTGTATGTTTGTCTGTACTGTTCCATTCGAGACTTCCGGAAGCTAATTCCCAACCGCGATGGAATTTGTGGCCAGAAATACTAAAACGTAAAATGAAACGGAGGGAAAGGTTGTTGGCTCTTCCAATAGGTCTACTTCATGGTATATTTACATGGGCAAAATGTATAACGTGTACGTACGAAGCTGATCGAAGAAACTGGGTTGGTTTGGATTCTTGTATCGTATAAATATTGGATGAGTTGGGATTAAAGCTCGTTTACATGGCACAGATTATCGCATACAATTATCTCATGCTATACGTATCGACGTGTGAAGCTTGGTCGGATACACATATCTGGCCTGTATTTATGTGTCTGTCCCAACTGTTAACTTCTAGCATCATTGTTAAGATCAGTCCCACTTGAACTGAATTCTCCCTTGGCGGTAGGGTAGCCTCGTAGTTAACGCGTTTGCTCGTCACAACGAAGTCCCGGGTTCAATTCTCCACATGGGTACAATATGAAGTCCGTTTCTGGTTTTCCCGGGGGCGGTCGGGTAGCCTAGTGGTTAAAGCGTTCGCTCGTCATGCCGAAGACCCGGGTTCGATTCCCGACATGGGTACAATGTGTGAAGCCCATTTCTGGTGGCCCCCGCCGTGATATTGCTGGAATATTGCTAAAAGCGGCGTAAAACCATACTCACTCACTCTGGTTTTCCCGGCCTTGATATTGCCAGAATATTGCTAAAAGCGGCATAAAATCGTACTCATTCATTCACTCAAATTCCCGCTGAAAGATTGGAAGAGAATGGAATAAACTCTCATCCCAAATTTAGATTCACTTTCGTATTAAAATATTTCCGTATCTGTAAAGACTTTGCATGTGTCTGTGACGGGTACAATGCTTTAGTTATATAGTCGAGCTTCAGTGTTTTGAAAAGCTTTCTTTCACCTTTAAAACCAAAACCTTTCAAAAGATATGTTTTGTCGAATGACATAATGGATAGTTTGGGACGTAATGATTCATAAATCCATACTTATGATATAGTGTAGTTGGAATCGTTCAATGGTCTCTCCTTTGAGCAGATATTTGTAAGGGAGCCGTCGGGTAGCCTAGTGGTTAAAGCGTTCGCTCGTCACGCCGAAGACCCGGGTTCGATTTGCCGACATGGGTACAATGTGTGAAGCCCCGCCGTGATATTGCTGGGATATTGCTAAAAGGTATTTGTTAGGATTATGGAAAGGATATTTTATTTGAAAAAAATGTTTATATTGAGTGAGTAAGTGAGTGAGTTAGTTACATGTTGACGTCACACCGGTAGTATTTCAGCCATATAGTGACGCGGTTCTTAATGTTCTGGGTATCGATGTTAGTCACACCAAATTCTACTGATTACAAATATCAGGCGGTAATTCATCATTAGGTTTGGGAGATGGTTACGTTTGTTTTTAATTTTTTTTAAATGTTGATTCCAGAAGATCTCACATTCTGTGGTAATTTCGATGTGTGGAGTTCGAGTCAGACAAGCTTTAATTTTGTTTGTTTGTTTGCTTGTTTAACGCAGGTGACATCAATATTTCAACCATATCGCGGCATATTTCGCCTGTCTGGATCCAGTTTGTGTTACAAGCAGTGAGTGAGTCAGTCAGTTTTTTTCCGCTTTGAACAGTATTCCAGTTATATCACGGAGTGTCAGCTTAATAATGTGTGAGGAGTGAGTGAGTGAGTTAGTGAGTTGGGTTTAACGTCGCTTTTCACAGTATTCCAGTTATATCGCGGCGTGTCAGCTTAATGTGTGAGGAAAGCCCAAAGTGATGCAGGTCTCCGACGTTTACCACTTCGGTGAAACCCACGAGCACGGGTATGGTGCTGACAAACCTAGAAACATAATCAGGGCGAACCTGGATTCGAACCCATAATCTTAGGTTTCTTGCATGCCCCATTGACGCAACTCTGCACAGCGAATCGCGGCGCCTTAGGCGACTGGGCCACCCGTGGCCCCTAATGTGTGAGGAAGTGATGCAGGTCTCAGACGTTTACCACTTTGGTGAAACCTACGAGCACGGGTATGGTACTGATACACTTAGAAATATTATCGGGACGATCCGGGATTCGATCCGATCATAGCTTTCTGGAAGGCCCAATGGACGCAACTGTTTACAGCGAGTTTCGGCGCCTTAGATGACGCATGTACTAGGCGTCTCCTTGCTAGAAGATTTTCACATACAGCACAAGGTGTGTTTAGGTATTCATCACCAGTCCGCTTAGGAATGGGGGATGGTTGGCTTTACCATCTGCTTAACCTAAGCTCAGACCAACCTGACCAATCTTAGACCAGCATCAGACGAACCTGAGGCCAACCTCAGACCATCCTTAGACCATCCTGAGACCAACCTTAGACCAACCTCAGACGAACCTGAGGACACCCTCAGGCCACCCTTAGACCAGCCTTAGGCAACCTTAGACCATCCTTAGACCAACCTTTGGCAAACCATAGACTTACTTGAGGCAACCTTAGACCATCCTGAGACCAACCTTAGGCAAACCATAGACCTACTTGAGGCAACCTTAGACCATCCTGAGACCAACCTTAGGCAAACCATAGACTTACTTGAGGCAACCTCAGACCACCCTGAGACCAACCTTAGGCAAACCATAGACCTACTTGAGGCAACCTCAGACCATCCTGAGACCAACCTTAGGCAAACCATAGACCTACTTGAGGCAACCTCAGACCATCCTGAGACCAACCTTAGGCAAACCATAGACCTACTTGAGGCAACCTTAGACCAAAGCCAACCTTGGGCATTTTCTCGAGCAAATAAAGTTTAATACATCCCTTCTTCTGGTTCAAAGAAGAAGAAGAAGAAGAAGAAGAAGAAGAAAACAGCACCCGGCCAGTTGGCTCACGAGACACTAATTACATAATGGTACATTTAAAATATAAAAAAAAAGATATATATACGAATTTGTGTCGTAGCGCAAAACCCCAAAAAGGCTACCAACATAGGTACATAAACAATCCAACCACGACGCATGAATCAGATACGCAGAATGTGTCGTGTATATTTCCCTCCACACTATACAAAGCATACTGCACGGTCCACAAAACACGATCCACTGTTGATCAACAAAACGTCGCCATAGCTTCCCATGACCTTTGACCTACATTCCGCTCGTTTCGCCGAGAGATCCCAGTCGTAGGCTTGCATTGTTGACAACGCGAAAATGTACCTTGCGTCGATCGTAGGTCACTGCCGTCAGCAGTAACACTGATGACAGTATCAGGTGTAATATACCAAAATAATAGACGTCCATATTGTTTCAAAATCATCTCGTATGGATTGAGCAAGTCAGAACTTGACACGCCCATGCAGAAGTGAACATGACCTAAGAGTGTGTATAGCCCTTATTGACTGGCAGAACACAATGTCAGGAGATGTGGTGCAATGTCGTAGCAGTGTTGCGCCGAGAGATTCTGTTTTCTGAGTCGTTCTACGTACAACTGTGGATCTAAACGCTGCAGGTAAGTCACTAGATACAGGTAGGACCCGACTACTTGATATCAGGGTGGGGCTGTGGGTCGGAGGTATGGAGGGAAAAGGGTGAGCTGGTAGGAGAGAGGTAGGGAAAGGGTGGGTGAGGTAGGAGAGGGGTAGGGAAGGGTGGGTGAGGTAGGAGAGGAGTTGGGAAGGGGTGGGTGAGGTAGGAGAGGAGTTGGGAAGGGGTTTGGTGAGGTAGGAGAGGAGTAATGAAGGGATGGGTGAGGTAGGAGAGCGGTAATGAAGGGGTGGGTGAGGTAGGAGAGGGGTAGGGAAGGGTGGGTGAGGTAGGAGAGGAGTTGGGAAGGGGTGGGTGAGGTAGGAGAGGAGTAATGAAGGGGTGGGTGAGGTAGGAGAGGGGTAATGAAGGGGTGGGTGAGGTAGGAGAGGGGTAGGGAAGGGTGGGTGAGGTAGGAGAGGAGTTGGGAAGGGGTGGGTGAGGTAGGAGAGGAGTTGGGAAGGGGTTTGGTGAGGTAGGAGAGGAGTAATGAAGGGGTGGGTTAGGTAGGAGAGCGGTAATGAAGGGGTGGGTGAGGTAGGAGAGGGGTAGGGAAGGGTGGGTGAGGTAGGAGAGGAGTTGGGAAGGGGTGGGTGAGGTAGGAGAGGAGTAATGAAGGGGTGGGTGAGGTAGGAGAGCGGTAATGAAGGGGTGGGTGAGGTAGGAGAGGGGTAGGGAAGGGTGGGTGAGGTAGGAGAGGGATGGGTGAGGTAGGAGAGGGGTAGGGAAGGGGTGGGTGAGGTAGGAGAAGGGTGGGTGAGGTAGAAGAGGATTAGGGAAGGGTGGGTGAGGTAGAAGAGGATTAGGGAAGGGTGGGTGAGGTAGAAGAGGGGTGGGTGAGGTAGGAGATGGGTAGGGAAGGGGTGGGTGAGGTAGGAGAGGGGTGGGTGAGGAAGGAGAGGAGTAGGGAAGGGGTGGGTGAGGTAGGAGAGGATTAGGGAAGGGGTGGGTGAGGTAGGAGAGGGGTGGGTGAGGTAGGAGATGGGTAGGGAAGGGGTGGGTGAGGTAGGAGAGGGGTGGGTGAGGAAGGAGAGGAGTAGGGAAGGGGTGGGTGAGGTAGGAGAGGAGTAATGAAGGGGTGGGTGAGGAAGGAGAGGATTAGGGAAGGGGTGGGTGAGGTAGGAGAGGATTAGGGAAGGGTGGGTGAGGTAAAAGAGGATTAGGGAAGGGTGGGTGAGGTCGAAGAGGATTAGGGAAGGGTGGGTGAGGTAGAAGAGGATTAGGGAAGGGTGGGTGAGGTAGGAGATGTAGGGAACGGGTGGATGAGTCAATACCTTCACTTGTCAATACCTTCATTATTCAATACCTTCGCTTGTTAATACCTTCATTATTCAATACTTCACTATTCAATACCTTCACTATTCATTACCTTCACCATTGAATACCTTCACTTGTCAATACCTTCATTATTCAATACCTTCACTTGTCAATACCTTCACTTGTCAATACCTTCACTATTCAATACCCTCACTTGTCAATACCTTCACTATTCAATACCTTCACCATTGAATACCTTCACTTGTCAATACCTTCATTATTCAATACCTTCACTATTCAATACCTTCACCATTGAATACCTTCACTTGTCAATACCTTCAGTTGTCAATACCTTCACTTGTCAATACCTTCACTTGTCAATACCTTCACTTGTCAATACCCTTATTATTCAATACCTTCACTAGTCAATACCTTCATTGTTCAATACTTCACTTGTCAATATCTTCAGCAGTCAATACCTTCACTATTGAATACCATCACCAGTCAATACCTTCACTTGTCAATACCTTCACTATTCAGTACCTTCACTAGCCCATTTCTGGTGTCCCCCACCGTGATATGCCTGGAATATTGCTAAAAGCGGCTAAAAACCACACTTACTCACTCACTCACTCAATACCTTTACTAGTCAATACCTTTATTAGTCAATACATTCACAGTTCAATACCTTCACTACTCTTCTCGAATATTTTTCAGCATTTATGATGAAACCCCGTGTAGAAATGTCAGACATTATGAATAAAGAGAATTCAACATTAGTCAAAATAAATACAATGGTCCTATAAATATGTAACGTACACGTTTATAATGTTTCAAAATATCTAACATGGTAGAAAGAACCCGAGACACAGGAACTGAACCGTGAAACATGTTCAACTGACTAGTGTTCTATCTTGCTTCGTCTTTCCATAGACCCATGAAGATCCGGGGTAGAATACGTCTTCAGCAACCCATGCTTGTCGTAAGAGGCAACTAACAGATCGGGTGGTCAGGCTCGCTGACTTGGTTGATGCATGTCATCGATCCCGATTGCGTGGATCGATGCTCATCATATTAATCACTGGATTGTCTGGCCCCGTCTCGATTATTTACAGACCGCCGTCATATAGCTGAAACATTGCTGAGTGCTGCGTTAAACAACAAACCATCCATCCATCGTCTTTCCATAGGGGCGGTGGGGTAGCCTAGTGGTTAAAGCGTTCGCTCATCACGCCGAAGGCCGGTGTTTGCTTCCCAAAATGTGTACATGTGAATCCCATTTATGGTGTCTTCCGCTTCGATGTTGCTGGAATATTGCTATACACGACGTAGAGCCGAACTCACTAGTCTTTCCATAATGCCGATATCATAGTCAGCAAACAATGTCCACACCTTTGTGTTTTATTTACAGAAACAACATGGCGCGGAGCAACCTGCCAGCGTCCAATCCCTTGAAACTCAACACATCTGTAGCAAGACAACAGGTTCATTCACGCAGCCCTTCAACTAAACCTCACAGCCCAACGACAAAGACGATAGAGGAACAGTTTTTGACATGTCCGATATGTTTAGAGATGTACAGTCACCCCAAGTGCCTGCCATGTCTCCATACCTTCTGCCGCCACTGTCTAGACTCCTACATAAAATCTAAAAATGAAGTGGAAATGAAAATGAAAAAGGGTTTTCCTTGTCCAGTCTGCAAACAGTTCCACTTTCTCAAAACCTGGCAGACTCCTTTGCACAGATGGATAGAAGAGTTCCAGAACAATTTCATGATTCAGAAAATGATTGATTACGTTCTTTCCAAGTCCAAACCAGGTACTAGTGACACCTCCTCTGCCTCTGGGATCAAGCCGCAAGTATCAAGACCTACAGTGAATTTTGTTCCACAAGAAGCAGCCAATCCAAAATACAATCCAGCTGTTCCTCAAAGATTAATGCCATCCGCCCCGACCCTGCCAGAATATGGCCCACTCACTTCGCAGGACATCACCGATCCTTCACTGAATCTGTCTTTCCTTTCTCCTATACGGCGGACATTTGGAGCCCATGGTATTGGTTCTAGTAACAACTCACCGTTTGGTCAAAGTGACAATTCATCTGGTCATGTGACAACACAATGGGGTGCTATCCGTCCTTCCAGCAGTTTCCGTGAATTATCTCAGTTTGTCGACTTACCGGGGGGACCCTTGAGTGCAAGAAGTTCCAGCTCGAATGACTTAAGCCGGGGTGAGGCGCCTGTTATATACGTAGATGCAAACACAATGGAGAGAGTGAATGTCTACCCAAACTACCATGGCAGTGGCTACTCGGATGTGTGTTGCCTTCCTAAAGCAAAAACTATCATTGTGACAGACTACAACAAACAGAGAGTCGTTCTTTTCGATGGTTATTTCCCTAGTAATAGAACATCCTCCAAGGTCAAGGTTGGAGGCAGACCAAGCTCCATATCCCTGCTGAATTCATCAGAAAACTGTGTCGTAGTCAATCTCCAGAATAAGGGCCAAATATTCCTCATCTCCATCCCAGATTTGAATATCCTTCATGTCTTGCGGACACAGCACAACTACCAGAGTGTCGCGATGTTGGCTTTCGATACTCTCCTAACAGGGTCTTCTGATAGACCAGCGAGAATAGACCAGATTAAGATTAAACACAGTACTTCTGAGGTGTCATCATCCCAAGATTGTCTATTTAAAAATAGTGAAAGTTCCTGGACGATAGCAGCACCAAGTCACATATGTGCCTTATCGGAAGACAAGTTTGTGGTGGCTGATACAGTCAAGAAAAGCCTGATCGGCTTTGATATAAAAACTGAAAATGGAAGGCTAGTCGGTCAGAAGAGCTTTTCCCTTACCCCTTCTCGTGACCGGAGGTTCCGGTGTCCTGGCGGGATGTGCCTCAACACCTCTCCCGGCAGCTTCTACGTGGTTGACTACAGTGGCAATGCAGTGTTTTGCATATACCCAGGGGACACTATAAGATGTGAAAAGGTCCTTTGTGAGAACGATGGTATCATGAGACCATCCTCTGTGTGTTTAGGTCCCGGGGGGTTCCTGTGTGTGGTTGACTGGGAAGGTACTATCTCCCTGTACAAACGGAGGTCCTGATTTATCTGTTTACCCATAACATTGGTGGCTATGCTCCCACGATGGTCACTGTGTAAGCCTGTGTTGTGACCTGCTTTTTAATGCAAATTGTCCTCGTGGCGGATGCTTCCGGTACGACATGTTTACACTTTTAGCGAACACCTGGTGTCATCACTGATTTTCTGTGATCCGTCCATATGATTTTCACCGATGTCTTGCCGTTTATGTTCGGCAGAAAATCAAGACTGTTGGTAGACCCACTTGAACAGAGGGAAACAGTTGTTTGCGGTTTGTGTTGGGAACTGCTCACCCAAACACACCCCTTGCTATACCACTTGCACATGTTCTTTTTGTAAATCTCATGCTTTTCATGCTCTGTATGTGACAGACGATGTTGAACAGTGTAACATTATGAGTTGACATATAATCGTTGTGGGACAAAGACGTCCATAGGACTCCAGTCAGGAGATTGCTTTTGCTTATATTAGGAAGAACTTCCATTATCGGGAAGTAAATACCACTTTATGATTAAGTGGTTAATTATTCACACTTTCTGTGAGTATATAGAAAAAGTGTATTTTGGGGGATTTATTTATTGGCGTAAAGAAGGTTTTGTGTTTTTGTCTTATTAAATTTCAGACATGCTCTTTTTGACTTGTTTATTTAATGGGCAATAGAAACTGTCTCATTCCCACCCACATGACGTTTGTTTTGTCCCAGACCTGAGAGGTGTAGAATCATTCATAAAATACCGTTATGAATTCTGTGGAATGTGAGGGCACAGGTGGCCCAGTCGTCTTCGGCGCTGCGATTCGCTGTGCAACGTTGCGTTCCTTGGGAATTGTGATGATTGTGGGTTCGAAACCCGGTTCGCCCCGATTATGTTTCTAGGTTTGTCAGCACCATACCCGTGCCCGTGGTTTTCTCCGAAGTGGTAAACGTCTGAGACCTGCATCACTTAGGGCTTTCCTCCCACATAAAGCTGACACGCCGCGATATAACCGGAATACTGTTAAAAGCGGCGTTAAACCCAACTCACTCACTCACAAACAAACTACCCACATCCCCTCAATATCAAATGGTCTGTCCCCAAGTCATCAATATGATCCATATTAGGTCTCCCTTGGGACATTCATGGGAAAGTCACAATGCCCATCAGATTCCAGTGACTTGCAAAAAATAAACCCACAAGGCACGAGTGTCCAGTTTGCACAGTTTATCAATCTCGTTCAAATCATTAAAACAATGATCTGAGGACATCCCATAAGGCGTCACGTCAGAACGACCTTTCATCTGACCAATCAGAGCGTCGCTTACCAGGTCATGAAAGTGACAGTCGGAATGTGATTTCTAATCATGCAACCTCGAAAACTTTAACCTAGGGTATTCCGAACCATAGTCATGGGTTTAACGACTGAATCATTACAATCTAGACCATCTATGTTCTTTTGTTCAGGTTTCAAATTTTAAATTGAGAATTTGTCAAAATATGTTTCGAAGCGTAGTTGCCAATTTGAAATTAGTGCCGTAAAGCACGAGAAAGCTGTCTTCTGATTGGTCATTCCATTGGTTGGTCAAAGTTCGCGCAAGGTCGGTCTGACGTGACCCGTAATGGGATGTCCTCAGATCTTTGTTTAGCGGTAGCAAGAACTGATTTTAATGAGATTGGCTGTAAAGGCTTTGCATGTGTCTGTGACGGGTACAATGCTTTGGTTATATAGTCGAGCTTCAGTGTTTTAAAAAGCCTTCTTTCACCTTTAAAACCAAAACCTTTAAAAATATTTTTTTTGTCGAATGACATAATGGATAGGTTGGGACGTAATGATTCATAAATCCATACTTATGATATAGTGTAGTTGGAATCGTTCAATGGACTCTCCTTTGAGCAGATATTTGTTAGGGGGCTGCGGGTAGCCTAGTGGTTAAAGCATTCGCTCGTCACGCCGAAGACCCGGGTTCGATTCCCGACATAGGTACACTTAGTGAAGCCCTTTTCTGGTGTGCCCCGGCGTGACATCAATATTTCAACCGTATCGCGGCATATTTCGCCTGTCTGGGTCCAGTTTGTGTTACAAGCAGTGAGTGAGTGAGTCAGTTTTTTCCCCCGCTTTGAACATTATTCCAGTTATATCACGGAGTGTCAGCTTAATAATGTGAGAGGAGTAAGTGAGTGAGTGAGTTGGGTTTAACGCCGCTTTTCACAGTATTCCAGTTATATCGCGGCGTGTCAGCTTAATGTGGGAGGAAAGCCCGAAGTGATGCAGGTCTCCGACGTTTACCACTTCGGTGAAACCCACGAGCACGGGTATGGTGCTGACAAACCTAGAAACATAATCAGGGCGAACCTGGATTCGAACCCACAATCAAAGGTTTCTTGCGTGCCCAAGGGACGCAACTCTGCACAGCGAATCGCGGCGCCTCAGACAACTGGGCCATCCGTGGCCCCTAATGTGTGAGGAAGTGAAGCAGGTCTCAGACGTTTACCACTTTAGTGAAACCTACGAGCACGGGTATGGTACTGATACACTTAGAAATATAATCGGGACGATCCGGGATTCGAACCGATCATAGCTTTCTGGCGTGCCCAAGGGACGCAACTGTGTACAGCGAGTTTCGGCGCCTTAGATGACGCATGTACAAGGCGTCTCCTTGCTAGAAGATTTTCACATACAGCACAAGGTGTGTTTAGGTATTCATCACCAGTCCGCTAAGGGATGGGGGGATGGTTGGTTGGCTTTACCATCTGATTTTCCTACGCTCAGACCAACCTGACCAATCTAAGACCAACATCAGACCAACCTTTTAGCAGCCTTAGACCATCCTGAGACCAACCTCAGACGAACCTGAGGACAACCTCAGACCATCCTGAGACCAACCTTAGGCAAACCATAGACTAACTTGAGGCAACCTTAGACCATCCTGAGACCAACCTTAGGCAAACCATAGACCAACTTGAGGCAACCTTAGACCATCCTGAGACCAACCTTAGGCAAACCATAGACCTACTTGATGCAACCTCAGACCAAAGCCAACCTGGGGCATTTTCTCGAGCAAATAAAGTTTAATACATCACTTCTTCAGGTATTTATGTATATATACGAATTTGTGTCGTAGCGCAAAACCCCAAAAAGGCTACCAACATAGGTACATATACAATCCAACCACGACGCATGAATCAGATACGCAGAATGTGTCGTGTATATTTCCCTCCACACTATACAAAGCATACTGCACGGTCCACACAACAAAACGTCGCCATAGCTTCCCATGACCTTTGACCTACATTTCGCTCGTTTCACCGAGAGTCGTAGGCTTGCGATCGTAGGTCACTGCTGTCAGCGGTAACACTGATGACAATATCAGGTGTAATATACCAAAATAATGGACGTCCATATTATTTCATAATCATCTCGTATGGATTGAGCAAGTCAGAACTTGACACATCAATGCAGAAGTGAACGTGACCTCAGAGTGTGTATAGCTTTTATTGACTGGCAGAACACAATGTCAGGAGATGTGGTGCAATGTCGTAGCAGTGTTGCGCCGAGAGATTCTGTTTTCTGAGTTGTTCTACGCACAACTGTGGATCTAAACGCTGCAGGTAAGTCACTAGATACAGGTAAGACCCAACTACTTGTTATCAGGGTGGGGATGTGGGTCGGAGGTACGGAGGGGAAATGGTGAGCTGGTAGGAGAGAGGTAGGGAAAGGGTGGGTGAGGTAGGAAAGGAATAATGAAGGGGTGGGTGAGGTAGGAGAGGGGTAATGAAGGGGTGGGTGAGGTAGGAGAGGGGTAGGGAAGGGGTGGTGGGTGAGGTAGGAGAGGGGTAGGGAAGGGGTGGCTGAGGTAGAAGAGGAGTAGGGAAGGGTTGGGTGAGGTAGGAGAGTGGTAATGAAGGGGTGGGTGAGGTAGGAGAGGGGTAGGGAAGGGGTGGTGGGTGAGGTAGGAGAGGGGTAGGGAAGGGGTGGGTGAGGTAGGAGAGGGGTAATGAAGGGTAGGGTGAGGTAGGAGAGGAATTGGGAAGGGGTGGGTGAGGTAGGAGAGGGGTAGGGAAGGGGTGGGTGAGGTAGGAGAGGGGTAGGGAAGGAGTGGGTGAGGAAGGAGAGGAGTAGGGAAGGGGTGGGTGAGGTAGGAGAGGAGTAGGTAAGGAGTGGGTGAGGAAGGAGAGGATTTGGGAAGGGGTGGGTGAGGTAGGAGAGGGATGGGTGAGGTAGGAGAGGGGTGGGTGAGGAAGGAGAGGAGTAGGGAAGGGGTGGGTGAGGTAGGAGAGGGTTAGGGAAGGGGTGGGTGAGGTAGGAGTAGGAGTAGGGAAGGGGTGGGTGAGGTAGGAGAGGGGTGGGTGAGGTAGGTTTGTTTGGTTTGTTTGATGTTTTACGCCGCACTCAGCAATATTCCAGCTATATGACGGCGGTCTGTAAATAATCGAGCCTGGACCAGTGGAAGAAGAGGATTAGGGAAGGGTGGGTGTGGTAGAAGAAGAGTAGGGGAGGGGTGGGTGATGTAGAAGAGGATTAGGGAAGGGTGGGTGTGGTAGAAGAAGAGTAGGGAAGGGTGGGTGTGGAAGAAGAGGATTAGGGAGGGGTGGGTGATGTAGAAGAGGATTAGGGAAGGGTGGGTGTGGAAGAAGAGGATTAGGGAAGGGTGGGTGTGGTAGGAGATGTAGGGAACGGGTGGATGAGTCAATACCTTCGCTTGTCAATACCTTCACTTGTCAATACCTTCATTATTCAAAACTTCACTATTCAATACCTTCACTATTCATTACCTTCACCATTGAATACCTTCACTTGTCAATACCTTCATTATTCAATACCTTCACTTGTCAATACCTTCACTTGTCAATACCTTCACTATTCAATACCCTCACTTGTCAATACCATAACTATTCAATACCTTCACCATTGAATACCTTCACTTGTCAATACCTTCATTATTCAATACCTTCACTTGTCAATACCTTCACTATTCAATACCTTCACCATTGAATACCTTCACTTGTCAATACCTTCAGTTGTCAATACCTTCACTTGTCAATACCTTCACTTGTCAATACCCTTATTATTCAATACCTTCACTAGTCAATACCTTCATTGTTCAATACTTCACTTGTCAATATCTTCAGCAGTCAATACCTTCACTATTGAATACCATCACCAGTCAATACCTTCACTTGTCAATACCTTCACTATTCAGTACCTTCACTAGCCCATTTCTGGTGTCCCCCGCCGTGATATGCCTGGAATATTGCTAAAAGCGGCTAAAAACCACACTTACTCACTCAATACCTTCACTAGTCAATACTTTCACTAGTCAATTAATTCACAGTTCAATACCTTCACTACTCTTCTCGAATTTTTTTCAGCATTTGTGATGAAACCCCTTGTAGAAATGTCAGACATTATGAACAAAAAGAATTCAACATTAGTCAAAATAAATACAATGGTCCTATAAAATATGTAACGTACACGTTTATAATGTTTCAAAATATCTAATATGGTACACAGAACCCGAGACACAGGAACCGAACCGTGAAACATGTTCAACTGACTAGTGTTCTATCTTGCTTCGTCTTTCCATAGACCCATGAAGATCCGGGTTAGAATACGTCTTCAGCAACCCATGCTTGTCGTAAGAGGCGACTAACAGATCGGGTGGTCAGGCTCGCTGACTTGGTTGTTGCATGTCATCGATCCCGATTGCGTGGATCGATGCTCATCATATTAATCACTGGATTGTCTGGTCCAGTCTCGATTATTTACAGACCGCCGTCATATAGCTGAAACATTGCTGAGTGCAGCGTTAAACAACAACCATCCATCCATCGTCTTTCCATAGGGGCGGTGGGGTAGCCTAGTGGTTAAAGCGTTCGCTCATCACGCCGAAGGCAAGTGTTTGCTTCCCAACATTTTTACATGCGAAGCCCATTTACGGTGTCTTCCGCTTCGATGTTGCTGGAATATTGCTATACACGACGTAGAGCCGAACTCACTAGTCTTTCCATAATGGGGGTGGTCGGGTAGCCTTGTGGTTAAAGCGTTCGCTCGTCACGCCGAAGACCCGGGTTTCGATTCCCGACATGGGTACAATGTGTGAAGCCCATTTCTGGTGTCCCCCGCCGTGATATTGCTGGAATATTGCTAAAGACGGCGTAAAACCAAACTCACTCACTTTCCATAATGCCAATATCAAACTTAGCAAACAATGTTTACACCTTTGTGTTTTATTTACAGAGACAACATGGCGCAGAGCAACCTGCCAGCGTCCAATCCCTTGAAACTCAACACATCTGTAGCAAGTCAACAGGTTCATTCCCGCAGCCTTACAACTAAACCTCACAGTCCAACGACAAAGACAATAGAGGAACAGTTTTTAACATGTCCGATATGTTTAGAGATGTACAGTCACCCCAAGTGCCTGCCATGTCTCCACTCATTCTGCCGTCACTGTCTCGACTATTACATACAATCTAAAAATGAAGTGGAAATGAAAATGAGAAAGGGTTTTTCTTGTCCAGTCTGCAACCAGTTCCACTTCCTCAAAACCTGGGAGAGTCCCTTGCACAGATGGGTAGAAGAGTTCCAGAACAATTTCATGATTCAGAATATGATTGATTACGTTCTTTCCAAGTCCAAACCAGGTACTAGTGACACCTCCTCTGCCTCTGGGTTTATCCCACCTTCCAGCAGGTTCTGTTATGTATCTAAGTTGGTAGATGTCTGGGGGGAACCCTTAAGTGCAAGAAGTTCCAGCTCGAATGACTTAAGACGGGGTGAGGCGCCTGTTATATACGTAGATGCAAACACAATGGAGAGAGTGAATGTCTACCCAAACTACAGTGGCCGTGGCTACTCGGATGTGTGTTTTCTTCCTAAAGCAAAATCTATCGTTGTGACAGACTACAACAAAAACAGTGTCATTCATTTCAGAGGTTATTTCCTTGGTAATAGAGCATCCTCCAAGGTCAAGGTTGGAGGCAGACCAAGCTCCATAGCCCTGCTGAATTCATCAGAAAACTGTGTCGTAGTCAATCTCCAGAATAAGGGCCAAATATTCCTCATCTCCATCCCAAATTTGAATATCCTTCATGTGTTGCGGACACAGCACAACTATCAGAGTGTCGCGATGTTGACTTTCGACACTCTCCTAACAGGGTCTTCTGATAGACCAGCGAGAATAGAACAGATTAAGATTAAACACAGTACTTCTGAGGTGTCATCATCGCAAGATTGTCTATTTAAAAATAGTGAAAGTTCCTGGACGATAGCAGCACCAAGTCACATATGTGCCTTATCGGAAGACAAGTTTGTGGTGGCTGATACAGTCAAGAAAAGCCTGATCGGCTTTGATATAAAAACTGAAAATGGAAGGCTAGTCGGAAAGAAAACCTTTTCCCTTGCCCCTTCTCGTGGCCGGAGGTTCCGATGTCCTGGCGGGATGTGCCTCAACACCTCTCCCGGCAGCTTCTACGCGGTTTACTACGGTGGCAATGCAGTGTTTTGCATATATCCAGGGGACACTATCAGATGTGAAAAGGTCCTTGGTGAGAACGATGGTATCATGAGACCATCCTCTGTGTGTTTAGGTCCCGGGGGGATCCTGTGTGTGGTTGACTGGGAAGGTACTATCTCCCTGTACAAACGGAGGTCCTGATTTATCTGTTTACCCATAACATTGGTGGCTATGCTCCCACGATGGTCACTGTGTAAGCCTGTGTTGTGACCTGCTTTTTAATGCAAATTGTCCTCGTGGCGGATGCTTCCGGTACGACATGTTTACACTTTTAGCGAACACCTGGTGTCATCACTGATTTTCTGTGATCCGTCCATATGATTTTCACCGATGTCTTGCCGTTTATGTTCGGCAGAAAATCAAGACTGTTGGTAGACCCACTTGAACAGAGGGAAACAGTTGTTTGCGGTTTGTGTTGGGAACTGCTCACCCAAACACACCCCTTGCTATACCACTTGCACATGTTCTTTTTGTAAATCTCATGCTTTTCATGCTCTGTATGTGACAGACGATGTTGAACAGTGTAACATTATGAATTGACATATAATCGTTGTGGGACAAAGACGTCCATAGGACTCCAGTCAGGAGATTGCTTTTGCTTATATTAGGAAGAACTTCCATTATCGGGAAGTAAATACCACTTTATGATTAAGTGGTTAATTATTCACACTTTCTGTGAGTATATAGAAAAAGTGTATTTTGGGGGATTTATTTATTGGCGTAAAGAAGGTTTTGTGTTTTTGTCTTATTAAATTTCAGACATGCTCTTTTTGACTTGTTTATTTAATGGGCAATAGAAACTGTCTCATTCCCACCCACATGACGTTTGTTTTGTCCCAGACCTGAGAGGTGTAGAATCATTCATAAAATAACGTTATGAATTCTGTGGAATGTGAGGGCACAGGTGGCCCAGTCGTCTTCGGCGCTGCGATTCGCTGTGCAACGTTGCGTTCCTTGGGAATTGTGATGATTGTGGGTTCGAAACCCGGTTCGCCCCGATTATGTTTCTAGGTTTGTCAGCACCATACCCGTGCCCGTGGTTTTCTCCGAAGTGGTAAACGTCTGAGACCTGCATCACTTAGGGCTTTCCTCCCACATAAAGCTGACACGCCGCGATATAACCGGAATACTGTGAAAAGCGGCGTTAAACCCAACTCACTCACTCACAAACAAACTACCCACATCCCCTCAATATCAAATGGTCTGTCCCCAAGTCATCAATATGATCCATATTAGGTCTCCCTTGGGACATTCATGGGAAAGTCACAATGCCCATCAGATTCCAGTGACTTGCAAAAAATAAACCCACAAGGCACGAGTGTCCAGTTTGCACAGTTTATCAATCTCGTTCAAATCATTAAAACAATGATCTGAGGACATCCCATAAGGCGTCACGTCAGAACGACCTTTCATCTGACCAATCAGAGCGTCGCTTACCAGGTCATGAAAGTGACAGTCGGAATGTGATTTCTAATCATGCAACCTCGAAAACTTTAACCTAGGGTATTCCGAACCATAGTCATGGGTTTAACGACTGAATCATTACAATCTAGACCATCTATGTTCTTTTGTTCAGGTTTCAAATTTTAAATTGAGAATTTGTCAAAATATGTTTCGAAGCGTAGTTGCCAATTTGAAATTAGTGCCGTAAAGCACGAGAAAGCTGTCTTCTGATTGGTCATTCCATTGGTTGGTCAAAGTTCGCGCAAGGTCGGTCTGACGTGACCCGCAATGGGATGTCCTCAGATCTTTGTTTAGCGGTAGCAAGAACTGATTTTAATGAGATTGGCTGTAAAGGCTTTGCATGTGTCTGTGACGGGTACAATGCTTTGGTTATATAGTCGAGCTTCAGTGTTTTAAAAAGCCTTCTTTCACCTTTAAAAATATTTTTTTTGTCGAATGACATAATGGATAGGTTGGGACGTAATGATTCATAAATCCATACTTATGATATAGTGTAGTTGGAATCGTTCAATGGACTCTCCTTTGAGCAGATATTTGTTAGGGGGCTGCGGGTAGCCTAGTGGTTAAAGCATTCGCTCGTCACGCCGAAGACCCGGGTTCGATTCCCGACATAGGTACACTTAGTGAAGCCCTTTTCTGGTGTGCCCCGGCGTGACATCAATATTTCAACCGTATCGCGGCATATTTCGCCTGTCTGGGTCCAGTTTGTGTTACAAGCAGTGAGTGAGTGAGTCAGTTTTTTCCCCCGCTTTGAACAGTATTCCAGTTATATCACGGAGTGTCAGCTTAATAATGTGAGAGGAGTAAGTGAGTGAGTGAGTTGGGTTTAACGCCGCTTTTCACAGTATTCCAGTTATATCGCGGCGTGTCAGCTTAATGTGTGAGGAAAGCCCGAAGTGATGCAGGTCTCCGACGTTTACCACTTCGGTGAAACCCACGAGCACGGGTATGGTGCTGACAAACCTAGAAACATAATCAGGGCGAACCTGGATTCGAACCCACAATCAAAGGTTTCTTGCGTGCCCAAGGGACGCAACTCTGCACAGCGAATCGCGGCGCCTCAGACAACTGGGCCATCCGTGGCCCCTAATGTGTGAGGAAGTGATGCAGGTCTCAGACGTTTACCACTTTGGTGAAACCTACGAGCACGGGTATGGTACTGATACACTTAGAAATATAATCGGGACGATCCGGGATTCGATCCGATCATAGCTTTCTGGAAGGCCCAATGGACGCAACTGTTTACAGCGAGTTTCGGCGCCTTAGATGACGCATGTACAAGGCGTCTCCTTGCTAGAAGATTTTCACATACAGCACAAGGTGTGTTTAGGTATTCATCACCAGTCCGCTAAGGGATGGGGGGATGGTTGGTTGGCTTTACCATCTGATTTTCCTACGCTCAGACCAACCTGACCAATCTAAGACCAACATCAGACCAACCTTTTAGCAGCCTTAGACCATCCTGAGACCAACCTCAGACGAACCTGAGGACAACCTCAGACCATCCTGAGACCAACCTTAGGCAAACCATAGACTAACTTGAGGCAACCTTAGACCATCCTGAGACCAACCTTAGGCAAACCATAGACCAACTTGAGGCAACCTTAGACCATCCTGAGACCAACCTTAGGCAAACCATAGACCTACTTGATGCAACCTCAGACCAAAGCCAACCTGGGGCATTTTCTCGAGCAAATAAAGTTTAATACATCACTTCTTCAGGTATTTATGTATATATACGAATTTGTGTCGTAGCGCAAAACCCCAAAAAGGCTACCAACATAGGTACATATACAATCCAACCACGACGCATGAATCAGATACGCAGAATGTGTCGTGTATATTTCCCTCCACACTATACAAAGCATACTGCACGGTCCACACAACAAAACGTCGCCATAGCTTCCCATGACCTTTGACCTACATTCCGCTCGTTTCACCGAGAGTCGTAGGCTTGCGATCGTAGGTCACTGCTGTCAGCGGTAACACTGATGACAATATCAGGTGTAATATACCAAAATAATGGACGTCCATATTATTTCATAATCATCTCGTATGGATTGAGCAAGTCAGAACTTGACACATCAATGCAGAAGTGAACGTGACCTAAGAGTGTGTATAGCCCTTATTGACTGGCAGAACACAATGTCAGGAGATGTGGTGCAATGTCGTAGCAGTGTTGCGCCGAGAGATTCTGTTTTCTGAGTCGTTCTACGCACAACTGTGGATCTAAACGCTGCAGGTAAGTCACTAGATACAGGTAAGACCCAACTACTTGTTATCAGGGTGGGGATGTGGGTCGGAGGTACGGAGGGGAAATGGTGAGCTGGTAGGAGAGAGGTAGGGAAAGGGTGGGTGAGGTAGGAAAGGAATAATGAAGGGGTGGGTGAGGTAGGAGAGGGGTAATGAAGGGGTGGGTGAGGTAGGAGAGGGGTAGGGAAGGGGTGGTGGGTGAGGTAGGAGAGGGGTAGGGAAGGGGTGGCTGAGGTAGAAGAGGAGTAGGGAAGGGTTGGGTGAGGTAGGAGAGTGGTAATGAAGTGGTGGGTGAGGTAGGAGAGGGGTAGGGAAGGGGTGGGTGAGGTAGGAGAGGGGTAATGAAGGGTTGGGTGAGGTAGGAGAGGAGTTGGGAAGGGGTGGGTGAGGTAGGAGAGGGGTAGGGAAGGGGTGGGTGAGGTAGGAGAGGGGTAGGGAAGGAGTGGGTGAGGAAGGAGAGGAGTTGGGAAGGGGTGGGTGAGGTAGGAGAGGGGTAGGGAAGTGGTGGGTGAGGTAGGAGAGGAGTAGGGAAGGGGTGGGTGAGGTAGGAGAGCGGTAATGAAGGGGTGGTTGAGGTAGGAGAGGGGTAGGGAAGGGTGGGTGAGGTAGAAGAGGATTAGGGAAGGGTGGGTGATGTAGAAGAGGATTAGGGAAGGGTGGGTGTGGAAGAAGAGGATTAGGGAAGGGTGGGTGTGGTAGGAGATGTAGGGAACGGGTGGATGAGTCAATACCTTCGCTTGTCAATACCTTCACTTGTCAATACCTTCATTATTCAATACTTCACTATTCAATACCTTCACTATTCATTACCTTCACCATTGAATACCTTCACTTGTCAATACCTTCATTATTCAATACCTTCACTTGTCAATACCTTCACTTGTCAATACCTTCACTATTCAATACCCTCACTTGTCAATACCATAACTATTCAATACCTTCACCATTGAATACCTTCACTTGTCAATACCTTCATTATTCAATACCTTCACTTGTCAATACCTTCACTATTCAATACCTTCACCATTGAATACCTTCACTTGTCAATACCTTCAGTTGTCAATACCTTCACTTGTCAATACCTTCACTTGTCAATACCCTTATTATTCAATACCTTCACTAGTCAATACCTTCATTGTTCAATACTTCACTTGTCAATATCTTCAGCAGTCAATACCTTCACTATTGAATACCATCACCAGTCAATACCTTCACTTGTCAATACCTTCACTATTCAGTACCTTCACTAGCCCATTTCTGGTGTCCCCCGCCGTGATATGCCTGGAATATTGCTAAAAGCGGCTAAAAACCACACTTACTCACTCACTCACTCAATACCTTCACTAGTCAATACTTTCACTAGTCAATTAATTCACAGTTCAATACCTTCACTACTCTTCTCGAATTTTTTTCAGCATTTGTGATGAAACCCCTTGTAGAAATGTCAGACATTATGAACAAAAAGAATTCAACATTAGTCAAAATAAATACAATGGTCCTATAAAATATGTAACGTACACGTTTATAATGTTTCAAAATATCTAATATGGTACACAGAACCCGAGACACAGGAACCGAACCGTGAAACATGTTCAACTGACTAGTGTTCTATCTTGCTTCGTCTTTCCATAGACCCATGAAGATCCGGGTTAGAATACGTCTTCAGCAACCCATGCTTGTCGTAAGAGGCGACTAACAGATCGGGTGGTCAGGCTCGCTGACTTGGTTGTTGCATGTCATCGATCCCGATTGCGTGGATCGATGCTCATCATATTAATCACTGGATTGTCTGGTCCAGTCTCGATTATTTACAGACCGCCGTCATATAGCTGAAACATTGCTGAGTGCAGCGTTAAACAACAACCATCCATCCATCGTCTTTCCATAGGGGCGGTGGGGTAGCCTAGTGGTTAAAGCGTTCGCTCATCACGCCGAAGGCCAGTGTTTGCTTCCCAACATTTTTACATGCGAAGCCCATTTACGGTGTCTTCCGCTTCGATGTTGCTGGAATATTGCTATACACGACGTAGAGCCGAACTCACTAGTCTTTCCATAATGGGGGTGGTCGGGTAGCCTTGTGGTTAAAGCGTTCGCTCGTCACGCCGAAGACCCGGGTTTCGATTCCCGACATGGGTACAATGTGTGAAGCCCATTTCTGGTGTCCCCCGCCGTGATATTGCTGGAATATTGCTAAAGACGGCGTAAAACCAAACTCACTCACTTTCCATAATGCCAATATCAAACTTAGCAAACAATGTTTACACCTTTGTGTTTTATTTACAGAGACAACATGGCGCAGAGCAACCTGCCAGCGTCCAATCCCTTGAAACTCAACACATCTGTAGCAAGTCAACAGGTTCATTCCCGCAGCCTTACAACTAAACCTCACAGTCCAACGACAAAGACAATAGAGGAACAGTTTTTAACATGTCCGATATGTTTAGAGATGTACAGTCACCCCAAGTGCCTGCCATGTCTCCACTCATTCTGCCGTCACTGTCTCGACTATTACATACAATCTAAAAATGAAGTGGAAATGAAAATGAGAAAGGGTTTTTCTTGTCCAGTCTGCAACCAGTTCCACTTCCTCAAAACCTGGGAGAGTCCCTTGCACAGATGGGTAGAAGAGTTCCAGAACAATTTCATGATTCAGAATATGATTGATTACGTTCTTTCCAAGTCCAAACCAGGTACTAGTGACACCTCCTCTGCCTCTGGGTTTATCCCGCCTTCGAGCAGGTTCTGTTATGTATCTAAGTTGGTAGATGTCTGGGGGGAACCCTTAAGTGCAAGAAGTTCCAGCTCGAATGACTTAAGACGGGGTGAGGCGCCTGTTATATACGTAGATGCAAACACAATGGAGAGAGTGAATGTCTACCCAAACTACAGTGGCCGTGGCTACTCGGATGTGTGTTTTCTTCCTAAAGCAAAATCTATCGTTGTGACAGACTACAACAAAAAGAGTGTCATTCATTTCAGAGGTTATTTCCTTGGTAATAGAGCATCCTCCAAGGTAAAGGTTGGAGGCAGACCAAGCTCCATAGCCCTGCTGAATTCATCAGAAAACTGTGTCGTAGTCAATCTCCAGAATAAGGGCCAAATATTCCTCATCTCCATCCCAAATTTGAATATCGTTCATGTGTTGCGGACACAGCACAACTATCAGAGTGTCGCGATGTTGACTTTCGACACTCTCCTAACAGGGTCTTCTGATAGACCAGCGAGAATAGACCAGATTAAGATTAAACACAGTACTTCTGAGGTGTCATCATCGCAAGATTGTCTATTTAAAAATAGTGAAAGTTCCTGGACGATAGCAGCACCAAGTCACATATGTGTCTTATCGGAAGACAAGTTTGTGGTGGCTGATACAGTCAAGAAAAGCCTGATCGGCTTTGATATAAAAACTGAAAATGGAAGGCTAGTCGGAAAGAAAACCTTTTCCCTTGCCCCTTCTCGTGGCCGGAGGTTCCGATGTCCTGGCGGGATGTGCCTCAACACCTCTCCCGGCAGCTTCTACGCGGTTGACTACGGTGGCAATGCAGTGTATTGCATATACCCAGGGGACACTATAAGATGTGAAAAGGTCCTTGGTGAGAACGATGGTATCAACAGACCATCCTCTGTGTGTTTAGGTCCCGGGGGAATCCTGTGTGTGGTTGACTGGGAAGGTAGCATCTCCCTGTACAAACGGAAGTCCTGATTTATCTGTTTACCCATAACATTGGTGGCTATGCTCCCACGATGGTCACTGTGTAAGCCTGTGTTGTGACCTGCTTTTTAATGCAAATTGTCCTCGTGGCGGATGCTTCCGGTACGACATGTTTACACTTTTAGCGAACACCTGGTGTCATCACTGATTTTCTGTGATCCGTCCATATGATTTTCACCGATGTCTTGAAAAAGTGTATTTTGGGGGATTTATTTATTGGCGTAAAGAAGGTTTTGTGTTTTTGTCTTATTAAATTTCAGACATGCTCTTTTTGACTTATTTAATGGGCAATAGGAACTGCCTTATTCCCACTCACAAGACGTTTGTTTTGTCCCAGACCTGAGAGGTTGTGTAGAATCATTCATAAAATAACGTTATGAATTCTGTGGAATGTGAGGGCACAGGTGGCCCAGTCGTCTTCGGCGCTGCGATTCGCAAACGCGATGATGATTCTCATCGTTGGGCTCTCGCAGCTGAACAAGCTCCATGGTCTCGTCCAACAAAGGATTAGAATTACAGCCTTGAGGCCAGTGGAAGTTTTAACATAGCTCTACAGCAGAAATACATATCGAAAGCATGTGGTATCATAAGTGTAGATTGCAATAGGTTAACACCAAAGAGGTCCGTGTAGGTGAGGTTAACAACGCTTTCACAGTATTCCATTTTCATCACGACATGTCAGCTTGATGTGGGCGGAAAATCCAAAGTGATGCAGGTCACTTTTGAGAAATCCATGACCACGGCAATGGTGCTAACACACCTCGAAACACAATCATAGCGAATTTGGATTCGAACCCACGACCATTTGTGTCTGGTACGCCCAAGGGACACAACTCTGCACATCGAATTGCAACTCCTTAGATGAATGTGTCACTTGTGTCCACAGAATGATTTAGAGCTATTGATCGAATCAAGTCTTGACTAGATAAACCAGTGATTGGTATTATGAGCATGTACCACACCAACTCGGTACGACAATACGCATGACTGGCAAACCAGTGTTCGACAGCATGAGCAACAGCATCTGGGCATGCGCGATGACACACATTGTGACCACAAGATTCTCATAAGTTGGATGATTGGGACCTATTCCGGCTGGAAGCCAGATGTTTGTTTGTTTTGTTTGTTTGTTTAACGCCGCACTCAGCAATATTCCAGCTATATCATGGCGGTCTGTAAATAATCGAGTCTGGACCAGACAATCCAGTGATTGACATCATGAGCATCGACCCACGCAATTGGGATTGATGACATGCATCAACCAAGTCATCGAGCCTGATCACCCAATCCCGTTGGTCGCCTTTCACGGCAAGCAGGGGTTGCTGGAGACCTGTTCTACCCCGGACCTTCACGGATGTGAAGCCAGATGTGGGGATATTGTTCTTTGACGCACAATTTTATTAAAATCAGATGTTAGTTCTTGACACCGCTAAACAATCATCCATAGACATAGGCCCTGTAATATGCTGTGCAAAGTTGCGTTCCTTGGGCACGCCAGAAACCTATGATTGTGGGTTTGAATCCCGGGGGCAAAACATCTCATATCACTTCCATCTTCTTCAAACAAAATTGATAACTATGATCTTTATTGTAATAAAGCGGGTTTTACCTCGTGAAGTGCATCATATCACTTGAGCACCTTGATTCAAAACCTGAAATGATTTTTAAATATGTGTCGATGCCCAGTTGACTGTACACACACACTGCAAATCCTGCAACTGGACAATTTCGGCACAGAAGCTGCCATGTTGTTTATGAACTAGATGTCGAAATCATTTGGGGATTTTGAGTGGACTATGCACAGCCAAAATATGACTTCATAATTCCAACCCAGTTTGGCAATAGTGAAAACTGGACTTAAAGGACATTAAATTCCCTTGCCTCAGGGAAAATTGGTTGTTCTGATGTGACCCGTAATTTTTGTTTCGCAGTAGAACTAAGATCTCATTTTAATGAGAATGCAACTCACGGTGACAAAGAAAATCAAAGGACTCTTTTTTTCTCATAGTCTTTATTAACTTCAAGTGAAGTGTAACAAGCAGTACAAAAAAACAGAGTAGCACTTTAAGTAGATGCAAAACTAAATGTTTCTATCCATCTAGAGGTATTGAGCAAAGGAACCTGATGTTCTGTTATAAAAAAGTAAAAATTGTGGGTTTTATATTGTCATCCCCTTTAAATACAATATCATGGGGGGGGGGGGGGGGGTTCTTTGGAGAGACAGTGGTGATTGTCTGATAATAGAAATACACATTTTGCTGATCCTGCATAGTTTTTGACACTATTCCAGCCAAATGACAGCAGCATTTTATCCAATTATTCCAATGTAGGAACCAAGGGTACCGAATAGGGTTAAATCTGTCTATGATGTTAGGCCTATATATGTTAGTTTAAGACAACTAGAACGTTATTTTGGCTCAAACAGGGTCATTTGGGCTTGACTTTCACACTGTAAAGTAAGCGGAATAGTCAATTATTTCAGCTTATACTGAGTCATCTTGGCTGACACAATGTCATCTGGACTGACAGGGTCATTTGGTCTTACATAAGGTCATCTCAACTGACAAGGATCATGGGGGCTTATCCTAATAAAGGTCACTGTGGCTTATCCAGGGTCATCTGGACTGACAAAGGTCATTTGGTCTCACACGAGGTCATTTGGTCTTACACAAGGTCATCTGGCCTGACAAGGGTCATGGGGGCTTATACAGGGTCATCTTGACTAACAAAGGTCATGGGGGCTTATACAGGGTCATCTAGACTGACAAAGAAAACAGAATGTGTCCCAGGAAATAATGGAGAAAAATGATAATTTATTATGCTTATTTATTAGATATTTATATCTAATCTCCATACAAACAAACTACCCACATCCCCTCAATATCAAATGGTCTGTCCCCAAGTCATCAACATGATCCTTATTAGGTCTCCCTTGGGACATTCATGTATAATGGTGGGCCAGTAGAAGGCCAATACAGTAGGACATGTAGAAGGTATTCTTACATGTCAAAAATACTACAAGTTCACATGTGATATACAAAATACGTGCAATGGTAGAATTGCTTGAAAGTCACAATGCCCATCAGATTCCAATGACTTGCAAAAATTAAACCCACACGGCATGAGTGTCCAGCTTGCACAGTTGATCAGTCTCATTAAAATCAGACCTTAGTTATTGCTACTGCTAAACAAAGATCTGAGGACATCCCATTAGGGGTCAGAACAACCTTTCATCCAACCAATCAGAGCGTCGCTTACCAGGTCATGAAAGTGACAGTCGGAATGTGATTTCTAATCATGCAACCTCGAAAACTTTAACCTGGGGTATTCCGAAGGATAGTTCCTGGTTTAATGACTGAATCCATACAATTCAGACCATCTATTAGCCATTCCACAATGTTCTTTTGTTCAGGTTTCAAATTTTAAACTGAGAATTTGTCAAAATATGTTTCGAAGCGTAGTCGCCAATTTGAAATTAGTGCCATAAAGCATGAGAAAGCTGCCTTCTGATTGGTCATTCCATTGGTCGGTCACAGTTCGCACAAGGTCAGTCTGACATGACCCATACTGGGATGTCCTAAGATATTTGATTAGCGGTAGCGAGAACTAAGAACTGGTTTTAATGAGATTGCAGTTGATACTGGCGTTGGTTTGCACAGGGGACTATTTACACTCCATGTAGGTGTCCAGTTATCACTGGTGTAGGCTTCACTCAGGGCGCGCTTGAACAGTGCATGATGCATTGTTCACAGTTCACAGTGTCCATTTTGCACAGTTGTGTCCATTTCGCACAGAACATGAACAATAACTCAGGAGGGTGTCCAGTTTTCACAGATCATGAACTATAACTCAGGAGCGTCTCCAGGTTCCACAGATCATGAACTATAACTCAGGAGGGTGTGCAGGTTTCACAGATCATGAACTATAACTCAGGAGGGTGTCCAGGTTCCACAGATCATGAACTATAACTCAGGAGGGCATCCAGGTTCCACAGATCATGAACAATAACTCAGGTGGGTGTCCAGGTTCCACAGATCATGAACTATAACTCAGGTGGGTGTCCAGTTTCCACAGATCATGAACTATAACTCAGGAGGGTGTCCAGGTTCCACAGATCATGAACTATAACTCAGGAGGGTGTCCAGGTTCCACAGATCATGAACTATAACTCAGGTGGGTGTCCAGGTTCCACAGATCATGAACAATAACTCAGGTGGGTGTCCAGGTTCCACAGATCATGAACAATAACTCAGGTGGGTGTCCAGGTTCCACAGATCATGAACTATAACCCAGGAGGGTGTCCAGTTTCCACATATCATGAACAATAACTCAGGAGGGTGTCCAGGTTCCACAGATCATGAACTTTAACTCAGGAGGGTGTCCAGTTTTCACAGATCATGAACTATAACTCAGGAGGGTGTCCAGGTTTCACAGATCATGAACTATAACTCAGGAGGGTGTCCAACTGCATAGATCATGAACTAAAACTAAGAAAAGGCTAAAAATGGTGCATCAGATATAAAGTGCTCTTTTATGCCTGCAGAACACGTCTGCAACATCATCAGTGAACATCTTCTCTTGAGTATTGGACACACAGGTCGAACATGTTATTACTTATAGCACACATACACATGTTAAAGGGGGGCCATGCTGCACTCCCTGGACCCGTGAAGATCCGGGGTAGAATAGGTCTTCAGCAACCCATGCTCACCATAACGGGCGACTATGCTTGTCGTAAGAGGCAACTAACGGGATCGGATAGTCAGGCTCGCTGGCTTGGTTTGATGCATGCCATCGTATCCCAAATGCATAGATCGATGCTCATGACATCAATCACTGGATTCCCTGGTCCAGACTCGGATTATCTCCTGACGACGTCATATAGCTGGAATATTGCTGAGTGCGGCGTTAAAAAACAATCAAACAAAAAAAGCACTGCCTGGGCCCATATCCATCCTTTGCCTAGACATCATGACATGTGGAATTGTGACATTGTCTCTGCACAAAAAGAGTAATCGGCCAGACTATTACACATCATTAAAGTGGAATATAAACAACTTGAATGAAACTTGCTTCGTCTGCCAGTTGGTGAAGCTTAGTCCCCCTTAAAATCAGCACTACATATTTGTAATATAATACACAAACAAAACAATCTATATAAATTAAAATACACAACAAAATTCTGAAGGCAATTGAAAGAAATTAGACATCACAGTCATCGTCAATACTTCACTGGTGTGTAGAAACTACGGTCCTCCATCGCCTGTGAAGTACTGACAGTGTATCACAGTCATCATCAATACTTCACTGGTGCGTAGACACTAAGGTCCTCCATCGCCTGTGAAGTACTGACAGTGTATCACAGTCATCATCAATACTTCACTGGTGCATAGACACTACGGTCCTCCATCGCCTGTGAAGTACTGACAGTGTATCACAGTAAGTCCTAAAGTTCATAGAAACATGATAAACTATCACATCACCATGCAGTGAAGTCTGGCTGAACCATTGTAGCCCTCAGCACCATAACACTACAACACTGCCACTGGCACGAGTGTAGACTTGCAAAAGTCTCTAAGGCAATAATTATGAGTTTAAATCATAAGTTCTAGATTAAGTACTGTAAATCGTGAAATTAATGCGTCTCCAAAAGAATGTGAACGCTGGCCCCTTGCCACAAATGCTACTCAATATGAATGCGACACCGCCCTCCTGTTATCTAAAGAAAATGTCCACTGTCAGGTTTACAGGAGAATCCCCATCTTAATCCAACCTTACATTAATCCAATCACACACCAAGTAGAACTGCTTATTAGCGCTGAGTACTTTACTTCCGCTAAAACAATGCATGCGCGCTGGCTCGTGTCGGCCTTTGACGCAGTCGCAAAGAACAAAGACACCGTGTTGCGTGGAAGGCGTCTGTCTGGACTTGCAGGTGTGATCAGTGATGACATAAGTGAGTAGAACTCTTGTCTTGACCCCAGCAGTGACAATTCACAGGATGTTATTAGTGTTTGAATGACATATGTTATGTACTTGTTACAAGTGCTGCTCAATAAACAGTGATCTGGAATACATAGTTGTTTGTTTTCAGCGTATGTCTAAGTTGGTATTTCTTCTATCCAAAATGTCTTATTGTTGATATAAATGTGATGTATTAAATAATAACGTGAGTAAAGACCACTCACATTTTTCGCATTGAATTCACGCTCGCGTTAATTTCAAGATTTACAGTATTTCATATTCACACTTGGAAATGCCAAACTTACCAATGTGAATACAAAATATCTTGTAACTGAACACACATCATCATCATCATCATCATCATCATCATCATCATCATCATTCCAGTGACTACAGTCTACAAGTACTTGAACACTACAGGTTCCTCAAGTTTGTCCATTTTCAAAAGGTCACAGAACCCTGTCTATTTCACTGACTTGTCACGGCGAAACAATTTGCTCAAATGTCTCAAGTTTCTGAAAAAATACATCTCCATGTAATGCCCACAAGAAACTTTTCATTGTTATGAATTCCTTCTTTCAGAAGTCGTCCATCAACCCTTGTAGCATATGCAGATTTGTGAGCAGTGAAATTAAGCTCGAAAGTAAAAGGGCCCTTGTCAAAACCATATGTCAACAGTTAAAGGGTGTCCAAGGATTCAAATACTATAGCAGCAAATCCCACTGGTGTGGTACCTGTATTAATACCACATTTCCGGTTGTGCTATTGGTTGTGTGTCCACAGCTGTATCTTGCATCCTTCTCTACGTACGTGCTGTAAAGATGGTGACCTTCCCTTCCCAGTTGCTGACACAGAGTTCACCACGAGGCCCAACACAAATAGAAGACGGTTTAAGCACGCCATCCCGCTGCTTGAGAACCGTCTCGCACACAACCGTGGCTCCGAAAGTGACCTTGTTGACTTCATGATTATCCTTGTCCACGATATACATGCTGTCATTGTGGTAACACAAGCCAGCTGGCTCACGGAATCTTTGGTGTTCAGGAGGCGTCAACGTGAATTTCTTCACTGCCTTTCTCCTTCCCTCTATCTGAAAGAACACAAGACTTTTCCTTTGAGCGTCCGACACTGCAAACGTTGTTGGAGACATCACCGTGATGAAGTTAGGTTGGTATATGTCGTAGTTCCACGAACCTTCAAAGTTTCCTGTCCTGTAGATTGTGGTGCAGGATCTGAGCCTAAAGCTTTGGTTGATGTGGATAATGTCCACGCAGGATGGGTCTCCTGGACTGGCAGCCAAGATCGTATCTCGATTCAGGGCTGCGACGCCACGGTATGGACGAGATGTCTCCATAATGTTCACAACCTCAAGCTCAGGCACTCTCATAAAGTACAGCCTGCTCCTGTTAAGGATGCTGACCACAATATGGCTCTCGGACGCTTCATCCAGTATTGCTAGGCAACAGGGCCGCCCAAGTACCATGTCACTGGAGGTGGTAACATTCCGGCCCAGGAATACATCCTTGATGAACTTCACGCATCGATTGTCATAATCAATCACCAACACACTGTTCTGTTTGGGAAGACAACAAATATCACAAATTCGTGGAGGTTTGTAATCTGACCAGCTTCTGGCTGCCATTTCGTAGGTTTTGTTTATTCTCAAGGACGTCTCTGTATAAGATACAGGCGTGTTAGAGGCGGGAAGTGCTATGACTGTGGCAGATCTGCTTGCAAAAGCAGAAATAGCATTTGTATTACGTGCAGGTGAGTGACTACCTTGGTTCAAGTCCGGCATGCTGGTAGAGTTTTGTCTGCCATAAAATACTCCGGATGGATGGTCAGGGGAGTCAGGCCTCGGGTTGAATCGAGGTCGATATCTCAGCTGCTGAGGGACACTCTCGAACATGGATGAAGTGGCTGAGTCGATGTCGAACGACGCCGGTGGTGCAGATGGGGTTGCAAAGGGTCTAGCAGATGGGGTTGCAAAGGGTCTAGCAGATGGGGTTGCAAAGGTTGGAGCTGATGGGGTTGCCACTTTGGTGGCGCTATCTTCTGTGCTTCCATCTTCGGTCTCCGTTCTTCCTTGATCAGACTCTTGAAGGATCGTATCAATCATATTCTGTATCAGGAAGTTATTTCGGAACTCCTCTGCCCACTCGCTCCAGCTACCAAGATGATTTTCAATTTGAATAAACTGCTTGCAGACGGGACATGGGAAACCCCTTTTTCGCCTGGCGCCATACACTTCTTGTGATTGCATGTAGGAGATCAGGCAATGGCAGCAGAATGTGTGCAGACAAGGCAAGCACTTCGGCTGCCTGTACACATCGTAACAGATCGGACATGACAAGAACGTATCCTGGATGGTATCTGCTGTGCTGGGGTTGGTCATCTGAAGGAGAGGGATGCTCTGTGCTTCAGCAGCACTTGACATAAAGCTGGACATGCTGGCTTGTTGGTTCTAAAAAGAAATGAGATATCAGTATGTCATCATAATTATGAGTGAATGAATGTTGTTTTAAGCCATAATATTTCGACTACATCTTGGCAGTTCTCAAGACTTGTATGAATAGGTGAGGTGAAATGGGGTTTAACGTCGCGTCCAAGATTATTGCACTTATATAGCGACGTGCATGCACGTGTGTGTGTGTGTGTGGCTGCTTGTACTAGTCCGGACTGATGTCGATTTATAGTTCTAGCACACTGAGATACCATGCGGCAGTTTAACATGAATACCCCACTTAGACACAGTATACTGACTCCGAGCCGACCAGTCCTTGTTTTAGCCCCTTAATGCCGAGCGCCAGACAGGGTAACAACAAGTACCATCTTTTAACGTTTTTTTGTATGACGCGGCTGGGGATCGAACCCCGGGCCTTCCGCTCTCATGAAGCTGGACATGCTGGCTTGATGGTTCTAAAAAAATGAGACATCAGTTTGTAGGATAAAACTATTTTCCAACATGTCATCATAATTATGAGTGAATGAATGTTGTTTTAAGCCATAATATTTCGACTACATCTTGGCAGTTCTCAAGACTTGTGTAAATAATTGAGGCTGAAGTAAATAATACAGTTCTTGATAACACATCTATGGAAAACCTTTAAAACAATTAGTCCTCGCAGGTTGGTTTTGGACTACTGTAAACAGCTTTATTTCTGCGCCGTTAAAATATTGCTAATACCACACCAAAGACAATACTGCGACGAGATATTTTTGCGAGTTGCCGTGTTGAGATGACCCCTTGATTACCAAACAGCTTCTCTCCGAAGCTAGTTAATCTGAGTTGGCCTGGAAAGTTGACCGGAAGGGATTGCGACCAATTATCAAATACGATAATTGACTCAACTCAGTGTCATGACTGTGAGTTTGAATGCAAACTATATAAGAAGACACTAATTGGTCTGTTTACACTGTCATTTGTGATGTATTGTGTGACCATTCTGCATTCATTTGTGTTTTTAACTTATTGAGTAACTTGTGGTTCTGGTTGATGATTTCAACATTTGATGACGTGTTGCAATGAATAAAGTACTTATGTATCATTTATACTTATTTTTGGGTTTTTAATTTTTGCGATTGAGTCTCGTTCGCAAAACTCGCAATAATAAAACGGTCGCAAAAAATTCCCTGTTTACAGTATTATTTAACAACTGCTGTCATATAGCTGAAATATTACTAAGTGCTACCACTAATTATACCTGTAATAAATTCATTAACTGAGCATCAAGTGAATGACAACAAATACACAAGTGTAGGGTTATACCAGAAATCGTGGATGACAACAAGGGAGTAGTAATCATATTATTCACGCAATCTGAAAATGCTTTCACTGCAGGGATACATTGTATTTATATTAAACTATAAGCATCAGGGGTATAAATTTCCACCGTTCTTTTTGTCTGTTTGTTTAGGCTGAAAAAAATAATTAACATGCGCCCTTTGTCGAAATCTTCTTAGATCACGGGTAAGCAATCAGTATTCCAAAATGCGTAAAACAAATATTGCCTCCAAGTTTATTCAGCTGTGCTTGAGGACGGTAACCCAGTCTCTTGTCACGCTCAGTTGAGCTAGCGAGCAAATCGACTCACGGGATCAAGCGAGCCCCAGAGGCCAGTGTCAGACAGCCGAGAAGCCAGAGATTAGTGCCCCTTTGACATGTTAAGTTCCAACTGTCTTATTAAACTTTGCGAACCTCGCCTCTCTCTCTGGTTTAGGCCTAATCTTGGTAGTCATGGTAATAGAACAAAATAAGATTTCGTTGATTTACAATGTAATATCAAATAATATTCTCATCTATTGATCTAACTTCATTAAAAGACAAGCTAACCTCCTAGCAGCGTGTTGAAGGTCCCATTTCTATAACGTCTTGTATGCGTATTTTGTGCAACTAGACTGTTCCGTTTTTCTTCGTCTTTGCACCCCTGTTGCGAAATAAGGTAACGATTTCAACACTCCACTCCAAATCGATCCGAATGAGTTATGAAATAATCATTGCTAGTGAAGGTGATGTAACAGTATGTCACGAGTGTTAAATTCCATTTCTGCTCGAATAAAACTCTAACAGAACATGTTTTTCACCTGTTCTTACGCTATTCGCAATCGTGTAAAATAGATACGACCATAAGCAACAACAATCCGTGACATCACTTGTCAATATAGAAGTTTATTTTTGTCCAATCAAATACCGCCAAACGTTTAGTGCTGAACTGTAAAACAGGAAGTAAATCGTTGACCTTACCCGAAGTCTTTTGGATAGAAATGAATATCTTACCCCATAAAAGGTATCGTAAACGTTATATTACTTCAGACTAACAAAATCCATTGAAACTGCAATGTTACTATTTACACATTGTTTTCTTGTTGGATTATTCATTTGCTTACATTGTGTTGACAGTGTTTACAAACACCCACAACTCCCCACTGACACAGGATCACCCAGCATCACCTGAAAAAACTTTCAACACAATCCAAAAGACGGGTAGACTGCAGTATTTGGGTCCCAAACTAGGGCTGGGACGAGTCCGAATTTACTACCCGAGTACCCACCACCCTATTACCCCCCCCCTACCCGGGTACCCACTGTAGGTCTCAGGAGATGTCTCAAAATGTTCGATTAGGAACATTTTTAGCATAGCCCTGGCAAAACGTATTCAGATACAATATTTTTTGTCATTAAACAATATATCACATGACCAACCACGGGTCCGGGCAGTCCTGTGGGTACCCAGGTCCTACTCAGTACACACCCGACCAAGATACCCGAGTTACCCGTCCCATCCCTACCCTAAACCGTAAAAACGTTTTCAATACATGACCCAAACAAATTTTTACCGCTATAAATAATAAATTTCGTACACAAAATCAAAAGTAATTTCCATACCCTTTGCAATAAGAAAAGAATTACTCTTTATAAGATATCAGAGACCTTGAAGATATTATTTTAGATTTAATGTAAATTCGTAAGGCAGATATTTTATTTGGGAGTAGTACACTTTAAAGGGCGCCCTTTTTCATTTCCAATTAGCGCAGTGGAGGCTGTTCACCAGCTTGGCTTATAAATGTGTTAATTAGCCGACGCTCTACCACTGGACCACAAGCGCTATTACGTGTAAACAGTGCACATTTAATGGTTCATTAGCACACCATTAACACGCATGCGTAATTCAGTTAACAATGAATTGCGCATGCATGTGACGTCATGGTCCGCTCTCCCATTAATCTTAATCACCCGCCATTGTTTATGTCAACATGACCCACCAATCGGATTAACCAGATTAACCCTTGAAAAGGTAAGAATTTATGGCTAACCCTTGCCCAAAGCAAGCTAACCCTAAGGACCGGAAATAGGGGTTGGATCGTAAAGACGTGTAAGTTTCCCTAAGACCGAAAAGGAGTGTTGGATCGTAAAGACGTGTAAGTTTCCCTAAGACCGAAAAGGAGTGTTGGATCATAAAGACGTGTAAGTTTCCCTAAGACCGAAAAGGAGTGATGGATGGAAGCGAGTGTCTGTCACTGGAGCGTGAGGAACAGTAACGGTATAGTGAGACAGCGGTGGCACTATGGCGCGGTAATTGAGCGGATGGTAGAGCTCGGGCTGTGCCTGTTAAACTGCATTGCTGCCTTTATTTGAATAAGGAAAACATATCCATGGGTTTTTTCTGTTGACCATAGCTAGATTGGAGAACCTTTAGAATACAGTACCACAGCTTCTCGTGAGGATGATCTCAGACATAGGTTACGTGTCTCAAAGACAAGCAACCAGTTTTTGTGAGAATCCATTGGATGTGAACTTGCGACCTTTGCCTGACAGCTAACCGACTTAGCTACTCCACACTGTAAAACTTAGTGCAAATTTACCTCGTCTATTCAGGGGTAGAAACTAACATATTTAGTCCACTAGTCCAAAACCCTTAAACGTGACAAATTTCTACTGTCCTTGTGATACTGTAACTATTAGGCGGTTTGGCAAGGACTACAGGACTAGTGCCAATTTCTAACGTTGCTATTTACCAGAACTGAACAAAAAGGGTCGAATAGGTGATGGACACTTACGAAGGTTACAGGAAGGCATGGTGTCCCTTGACTGTATATTAGTTCCCATTTATTATCATTTTAGCCACTTGAATTACAATAAAAAACACCCAAAAAATACATTGAAAATAAAAGGCTTTCATTAACTATCGCTTGCTATAAAATGCGCCGTCGCAGGCTATAGTTATTAGACAAATATATAAAACTCTCAACATCGCTGGGCTTATTCAATGACATTGCGTGTAGAGACGATAGTTCACTGGGAGGAGCTTATGCACACTCGATGACCCCTGACGTCAGGTTGATTTTGAGATTTCACAAAACAAATTTATCACCATGCAGTCATTGTATTCAGACAGCTATCATATAGGCCTTGCTGGAATATTATGTATATTGCATAAACTTTATTTATGCTCCACTTTGACATCACTCGTTATCTTGATAAATATGGCTGTCTGAAAAGTATGTTTGGAAACCTTTTGTTGAACAATAATATTGTTTTATAAACAAATATTTAGAAATATATGAAATAGGGTTACAAAGTTACTTATGTTTAGTGTTAGATATTTTCTAGGGGTACGCATTTTATAGGAGTACAAATTAGTTTGGGTTACGAAATTACCGCAACCTACAACTGGTAGGCCTCACCTCGCCTCACCTCACCTCACCTCACCTCACCTCACCTCACCTCACCTCACCTCACCTCACCTCACTGATAGGAGCTGCCTGAAGGTGAATTTGTAACCAACCTAATTCGTAGCCATGGATTATTCATAGACACCAAACTCACAGACAAAATTCATAGTGAACAACCAAAATTGGGAAATAGAGTTAAATATTGATTTATGAGATATAGAATTATTATGTGGCAAATGTGTTTTTGAGTTATAAATGACGATAAAAAATTTGTGCAGTATGACCAATCAGAGCGTCGCTTACCAGATCATGAAAGTGACAGTCAGAATGTGATTCCTAATCATGCAACCTCGAAAACTTTAACAATGGGTATTCCGAATGATAGTTAAGGGCTAAACGATTGAATCCATACAATCTAGCCCATCTATTAGCCATTCCTGAATGTTCTTTTGTTCAGGTTTCAATTTGTAATCGAGAATTTGTCAAAATATGTTTCGAAGCGTAGTCGCCAATTTGAAATTAGTGCCGTAAAGCACACGAAAGCTGCTTTCTGATTGGCTAAGTTCGACTTCCTGTCAGTCATTCCATTGGTCGGTCAAAGTTCGCGAAAGGTCGGTCTGAACATGACTCGTAATGGGATGTCCTCAGATCTTTGTTTAGCGGTAGCGAGAACTAAGATCTGATTTTAATTTGACTGATACAGTGATCCAAAGGGTTATAGCCTTTACATTTGTGATTCATTAAATATACCAGTCTCCACTCACAATGAGTTGTGTGTTACAGTTGGCATGTGCGGACAAAGAAGAATATCGAGAGAGTTCGTAAAGATGAAGAGAAAGCTGCTGAAGAGGAGAAAGAGAGGCTGAGGAAGATTGCTCTTGCTGTAAGAATCAATTTTCATCGCAGACAGTGTACAATTACAAGTTACATTTGAAGACTTGAAATTGTGGAGGTACTATTTGCTGCAAGGTGTGCAGAGATACATCCCTTAGATGTGCCCATGGTGCCAGGATCTGCTGAAGATTCATGCCTGTCAGCAACAAAACTAGGGGTACTCGTTTCTGAGACACAGGGACCATATTATTCCACTTGTGTGCATGGTATTGGTTTTGAAACACGTTTAGTATCGGAAACCTCATACTGTAGGTTCCATTCCAAATTCAGGGGGCACGGGTGGCCCAGTCGTCTAAGGCGCCGCGATTCGCTGTGCAGAGTTGCGTCCCTTGAACACGCCTGAAACCTATGATTGTGGGTTCGAATCCCGGTTCGCCCCGATTATGTTTCTAGGTTTGTCAGCACCATACCCGTGCTCGTGGGTTTCACCGAAGTGGTAAACGTCTAAGACCTGCATCACTTCGAGCTTTCCTCCCACATTAAGCTGACACGCCGTGATATAACTGGAATACTGTTAAAGGCGGCGTTAAAACAAACTCACTCACTCACTCACTCCATTCCAAATTCAATGTAGAGCCGTCATGTCTGTTATGTGAGGCCTTCTGTAATGTTTCGCTTTGAAACATTCATCACTCTGTGTTCAGTTGTGGGAACCCATGAAGATCCAGGGTAGACTAGGTCTTCAGCAACCCATGCTTGCCATAAGAGGCGACTCAGCTTGTCGTTAGAGGCGACTAACAGGATTACTGAAGACCTATGCTATACCAGATCTTCCCGGACTGTTCACACATATTGTTTTGATTAGATTTTTCAATGATAAGCTGTTCTTATTTCAGGAGCAAGAAGCCAGAACTGACTTGCTCCGAAAGCGAGCCAAGTTGCGTATTGAAGATGCCCCCACGGATCAGCTAGAGGAAGGACCCATTCAGGGAGAAGGGGAGCTGAGGGGGGTGGCTGGGACAGGAGGGGGAGAAGAGACTGAGTCATCAGCTGTGGTAGAGACGGATGAACTGCCCCGACACATCAACTTTTTCAAGGAGATAGAAGATGGGGTAAAGATTTGTAATTATTTGTTCAGTGCTATCGAGGGGCTGTGGCTTAGCTTAGACGTTAACACCTTCCTGAGGCAAGGGAGATAACTGACTATAAAAGTCCAGTTTCCACCCTTGCCGAACTAGGCTGCAATTCCTGGGCTCGACCGTAGCGCCACCAGTGGTTATTACGAGTATTGTCCCTTCTAAGCCTCTCATATGGACCAATCAGGTTCCACCTGTCATATCACTTGCATTTGTTTCAAACAAAATGGTGCCGCCAGGTCAAAATGATCTGATTGATAATCAAGATCTATATTGCGATAAAACGGGTGTTACATAGCAAAGTGCATCAAATCACGTGAGCACCTTGATTAAAAACATGAAAAGACTTGGAAAATATCTGTTGACAACGAGTTGGCGATGCACATGCTTTGCAAATCCTGCAATAGACAGAAATCTGCACGACATTTTACAAACCGGATTTCGATTTCGGTGCACGATTTTGATTGGACTATGCATAGACTCGTTAGCCCAGCCAAAATGTAACTCCATAATACCAGCCTAGTTCAGCAAGGGTGGAAACTGGACTTTTATAGTCAGTTAACTCACTTGCCTCGGGAAGATGAGTCCTTAAGGGTTTGGCTCGTCCCGTCAAAGACACGCATGCACGCACACCACATATGCTGGTCGTAACTAAAGAGGTGACAAAATTGATAGAGTGGTCTGGCTCGGTGACCTGGTTCCTGCTACTATGGTGTGGAACCTTGCTTACAATATCAAACACTGGATTGTCTGGTCCAGACTTTTTATTTACAGCCGTCATTTAGCTGGAATATTGAGTCCGGTGTTAAACAAACAGAAAAAAAAGACCCTGTTTAAATACCAAAACTTAGGTACAGTGTGTGACAGCTAATCTTTGAATCTGCCTTTAATAGAACTTAAAACTGGATAAAATGGTTTGAAAAGGCCATTAATTTGGCAGTTCTGCTGTTATAAAATAAATGTACCGTATTCGACGTAATAAGCGCCCCGCTCTAATAAGCGCCCACGACGATATTTGCTAATATACTGGCTAGTGAACAATTCCAATCAGCACCCCTTCTGATTGATAAATGTACACAAGGCTATTTATTCGTGCATAATACGTTTGTTATATGCACCCTTAATTATGGGCAATTAATTTCTGGAAAAATATATCTGTCTTTTATAAACATTTCAGCATAAACCACGAAATTTACACTCTCTGAACTATATATATATTCTAATAAGAGCCCCCTATTTCTAATTTTGAGAGCGCCCTGGGCGCTTATTATGTCGAATACGGTATTACAAATTATTCTTTTCTCTGATAATGTGTGATGCAGTAAATATGGTGAAGAATTAGTCCATAACATGATCGATATGGTGTGTGGACTTGAATATTTTGATATTGTACTTGGATGTACATGAAGCTATTTTGGCCATCCAAATGTCTTGATAAAACTGCTTGAAAACACTGTTGGATCCTATTTGTAAAGTTGAGTGGTATTAGCTGGGGCTGGCTAAAAAGATTGATAATCAGAATTATCATCAATGGGATGAAATATTCACGATTATTGATATGAAACTGTTGTCATTGATAATAACTCACATAAACTATTATGGTGAAATAAAGTTTAGATTTACAGAAATTTACTTGTCATTGTGAATAATGGCAATTGCCAAAGACGGCGAGCAACTGTTCTTGTTATATCTTTAATGTCCACAAAGCACTCCCTGCATAAATGTGTCACTGCTCACCTGTTGCGTGCAATCTGTTGATTTCTTTCAGGACTTTCTTGTATATATTCTTAAAGTTCCTTCTCCGATATATATTTATCGATAATTTATCAATATTTTTTAAGCGATTATCGACCTCTGTTATCTATATTGATAGCCAGCCCTAGTATTAATAGTATTCTATGGTTTGAAATACCAATGATACCATATCATGATACATTTGGAAATGACTGGTATGTTGTGTTTTTCAAAATCATTCCTTTTTTCATGTTGTTGGCAAAGTTGACATATGTGACTATATATAATGTGTGTATTACGCGTGCATTGTGACTATAGCAACATCCAACAAAATATCAGACAAAATACAGTATGTGTGGGCGAAGTCTGATGTATGGGTCTGTTTTTATTCAGGTTCATAACAAATTACAGACAAAACTATGCATACAATATCAGTGTTCCCGTTTACCGGTAATTACAAGTTTTTACCGGTAAAATTAGGCTTTGACCGGTAAATCATGTTACTGCCAGTCCCTGTGGACCAGCAAATAAAGTTCCTTATAAGTTTTTGTTGCTGAACAAAACATTGGCGAAATTCAAATACCGTATTCGACGTAATAAGCGCCCAGGGCGCTCTCGAAATTAGAAACAGGGGGCCCTTATTAGAATAGTATTTTGAGTTGAAAGATCGTAAATTTCATGGTTTATGCTGACAGCCTGAAATGTTTATATACGACAGATATATTTTTCCAGGATTTAATTGCCCATAATTAAGGGTGCATATAACACACGAGTGCGTATTATACACAAATGAATAAGTCTTGTGTACATTAATCAATTGGAAGAGGTGCTAATTGAGATTGTTCACTAGCCAATATATTAGCAATTATTGCCGTGGGCGCTTATTAGAGCAGGGCGCTTATTACGTCGAATACGGTATGTATATTTTTCGAAAGACGTCAGCTTGTCTGTTACCATCAGGGTTTCCCATTATTTTATTCAGTGCAAGGAAATATTTAGCTTGAGGTTAAACATATATTTGTAGCGACTTCATCTAGAAATATTAAAAATGAGAGAGAAAACTGGGAATTTTTAGAGTTGCCAGTCCACAAGGACGGCGTACGTATCGCAGTGCATGCAATACAAAAGTCAGGTCAGTATCCATTACTACTAACTTGAAGACCCGTGAAGATTCCGGGGTAGAATAGGTCTTCAGCAACCCATGCTTGACGTTAAAGGCGACTAACGGGATCGGGTGGTCAGGCTCGCTGACTTGGTTGATGCATGTCATCGATCCCAATTGCATGGATCGATGCTCATGATATTAATCACTGGAATGTCTGGTCCAGACTTGATTATTTACAGACCGCCGTCATATAGCTGGAATATTGCTGGGTGCGGCGTTAAACAACAATCCAATCCAATCCAATACTAACTTGAAACTACTATCTTTGGAGAGTGTGAAAGTTCTTGAGATGTGGTGGCTGTAGTTTTGTAGTCCCTTGTGTTGTCATCAGATGAAGAAACACGGTACCAATGCAGAACATGAGGCGGAGAAGAAGGCTGAGAAGGAGAAGTGGGAGAAGAGCATCGGCTTGTTGACATACCTGGGTCAGAGTGCAGTGGAGACTCAGGGTAAGCTTCTCCACAACCCCACGGACAGATATCTGTCCACCTGTCTGATGTAGTCCATAAACAGCGATCCCTGCACCCCATGTGTGTCTCCTTGTGGAGATTCTGGGGCAGAATAAGTCCCCAGTACCCCATGCCTGTCTCCTTGTGGAGATTCTGGGGCAGAATAAGTCCCCAGTACCCCATGCTTGTCTCCCTGTGTTGATTCTGGGGCAGAATAAGTCCCCAGTACCCCATGCTTGTCTCCTTGTGGAGATTCTGGGTCAGAATAAGTCCCCAGTACCCCATGCTTGTCCCCTTGTGGAGATTCTGGGGCAGAATAAGTCCCCAGTACCCCATGCTTGTCTCCTTGTGGAGATTCTGGTGCAGAATAAGTCCCCAGTACCCCATGCTTGTCTCCTTGTGGAGATTCTGGGGAATAATAAGTCCCCAGTACCCCATGCTTGTCTCCTTGTGGAGATTCTGGGGCAGAATAAGTCCCCAATACCCCATGCTTGTCTCCTTGTGGAGATTCTGGGGAATAATAAGTCCCCAGTACCCCATGCTTGTCTCCTTGTGGAGATTCTGGGGCAGAATAAGTCCCCAGTACCCCATGTATGTCTCCTTGTAGGTCATTTCTTAGTCAGTTTGAGATTTGATATATTTAGTGAAATATTCAGGATGTACAAGCGAAAATTTTTGATGACCTACTGCTTGACTCCAAACATCTAACATATCATGTATATCTGGGATTCTACAAGTTGTTAAATGTTAAAAGTTAGTTCATAAATATAACGAGATCTCGCGAGAACGAGACTCCTTTTAAGATGGCAGCGCCCAGTGAGTGATCGCATCGATGGCACCAGGGTAACATGTAACTGGTTAGTAATGTTCTACGTGATAGTATATATGATGTAAGTAGGTAGGTTGCTGGAGGAATGGCAGTTAGACGTTAGTCTGGTTGAGAGTGCTGCTGTGTGCGCACATACATCTCTTGTTATCCAATATATAACCGAATAAACAACCTTGACTCAAGATATCATCGTTGTGTCATCTGGGCCATATTCCAATCTACAAAGTCTCCACATTAATGTGTCTTCAGAATCTGCCCCCTGGTATCTGGTGCCACAGAAGAGGAAGAGGAAGCGGGATGACGAGGAAGAAGAGGAGGAGGAAGAGAAGAAATTTGATTTGAAGTAAGTATTGTCGTCTAGGGTGCCGCTGTTCGCTGTGCAGAGTTGCATCCCTTGGGCACGCAAGAATCCCAGGTTAGAATCCCGGTTAGCCCCGATTATGTTTCTAGGTTTGTCAGCACCATACCCATGCTCGTGGGTTTCACCGAAGTGGTAAACGTCTGAGACCTGCATCACTTCGGGTTTTCCTCCCACCAAACAAAGAATTGTTTTATAAATTTTAAGTTTCTAAACATGTTATATGTTCATGATGTTATCTTTGTTATGCTTCACTGCTTTCAACATGTTCAATATTACTGTCCCTTGTATGCCAGCAGGGACCAGTGAATGTTGGTCTGACATGGCAGACATAAGAATTTTCCTCGGATTCCCGGAATTCCATGATTTTTCCTCTCAAAATGATGTAAAATGCGCTTATTTTAATCCTTGTGTTGAAGCCAAACCCCCCCCTAGATTGGCAATGTTCCTCAAAAAGCAAGTTTTGCTGTTCTTATGTCTGCATGGGCAGAGCAGAGGGGGAACATACATTTCTTACACTTAGTTCCTGGGAATATCATCAATGTAGTACTGTTTACGGAAGAGTTTTCAAGGCTAACTAACGATTGCCAGTTATGCCATAGATCTACCACTGGCTAAATGGGTTAATTTTGAATGCAAGAGGACTATTTTCTTTAACCAGGTCCATGAAGGAACGTAAAAGACAAGAACACCTGGACCCAATGAACAAGATGAAAGAATTTGTCCACAAGAAAAGACACAAGCACCACAAGGAAAAGGTGAGAACAGTTTCGTCATTTTGGGGCACAATCTGTCTCTGGTTCAATAATGACTGCCAATAATGGCCGTATCCAACAATAATGGTTTAGGTCCGGTTGCCCTACATCCTTCCCACTGTAAACAGGGCTCATTGGTCTAATGTGCGGTAATTCATTGTGCAGAGTTGTGTCCCTTACTTGTGCCAGGATCTAGCAAGTTCCAGTCCAAGATTCAGATCAAGATATTGTTGATCTGTAAGCATCCATGGGTTTCTCAAGAGTGCTACAAAGTGCACTTCCTGTACAAGGGAGATAACTGTTCAGAACTTCAGCTTTGCCCTTCATATCTTTCGCTAAAAGATATCTTGAGATGGTTAAATTTTTTTATTCTAACCCTACTAGTACTCTTTGCACTACACACAGTGTGCAATTTGTTTGGACTGGTGAAGGATTAAATATGCATAAGCTAAATTAACATGCAATCACACAAAATCTTAATATGGTAATTTTGAATGTGGTAAGCTTGTGTCTCGTCTTCATAAGGTTGACACTTTCACAAGAAATGATCCTGGGAAAAGTGAAATATTAACATTTAAATTTATTAAGTTATGACTTGAAATCTATATTTAGACAACAGGGTTTTACGCAACACACAAATGAGAATGGACACAGAAAAAGAACATATTGCATCCCAAGGGAGACACAATTATAGTCATTGTACCTACATTGCATCAGGACCAGTAATGGGTGTCTATCATTTCATCCATCAATCACGACCTCTGTCTTCATGATCATTGATTCATTCCAGACTATCATAAAGTAATTATCTAAACGTACAGCACACTACACCATTTCATTACTTTACAGGACCTCATATTGCCTGCAAGGACTCTAACAATTAATTATCGGGGATTCCCTGGACCCTCACAAATACAGCCTTTATTTATACAGAAACAATAATATTATGACCAGGGCCCAATTTGAAAAAGCGATCATACCGCCATGACTCTGTAACTCTCAACTTTAACATAGAGTTACAACAGCTGCAGTGCTACGACTCTGTAACTCTCAACTTTAACATAGACTTACGACAGCGGCAGTGCTACGACTCTGTAACTCTCAACTTTAACATAGACTTACGACAGCTGCAGTGCTACGACTCTGTAACTCTCAACTTTAACATTGACTTACGACAGCTGCAGTGCTACGACTCTGTAACTCTCAACTTTAACATTGACTTACGACAGCTGCAGTGCTACGACTCTGTAACTCTCAACTTTAACATTGACTTACGACAGCTGCAGTGCTACGACACTGTAACTCTCAACTTTAACATAGAGTTACGACAGCTGCAGTGCTACGACTCTTGTAACTCTCAACTTTAACATAGAGTTACGACAGTTTCAGTGCTACGACTCTGTAACTCTCAACTTTACCATAGACTTATGACAGCTGCAGTGCTACGACTCTGTAACTCTCAACTTTAACATTGACTTACGACAGCTGCAGTGCTACGACACTGTAACTCTCAACTTTAACATAGAGTTACGACAGCTGCAGTGCTACGACTCTTGTAACTCTCAACTTTACCATAGACTTATGACAGCTGCAGTGCTACGACTCTTGCAACTCTCACCTTTACCATAGACTTACGACAGCTGCAGTGCTACGACTCTTGTAACTCTCAACTTTAACATTGACTTACGACAGCTGCAGTGCTACGACTCTGTAACTCTCAACTTTAACATAGACTTACGACAGCTGCAGTGCTACGACTCTTGTTACTCTCAACTTTAACATTGACTTACGACAGCTGCAGTGCTACGACTCTGTAACTCTCAACTTTAACATAGAGTTACGACAGCTGCAGTGCTACAACTCTTGTAACTCTCAACTATAACATTGACTTATGACAGCTGCAGTGCTACGACTCTGTAACTCTCAACTTTAACATTGACTTACGACAGCTGCAGTGCTACGACTCTGTAACTCTCAACTTTAACATAGAGTTACGACAGCTGCAGTGCTACGACTCTTGTAACTCTCAACTTTAACATAGAGTTACAACAGCTGCAGTGCTACGACTCTGTAACTCTCAACTATAACATTGACTTACGACAGCTGCAGTGCTAGGACTCTGTAACTCTCAACTATAACATTGACTTACGACAGCTGCAGTGCTAGGACTCTGTAACTCTCAACTATAACATTGACTTACGACAGCTGCAGTGCTATGACTCTGTAACTCTCAACTATAACATTGACTTACGACAGCTGCAGTGCTACGACTCTGTAACTCTCAACTTTAACATTGACTTACGACAGCTGCAGTGCTACGACTCTGTAACTCTCAACTTTAACATAGAGTTACGACAGTTTCAGTGCTACGACTCTGTAACTCTCAACTTTAACATAGACTTAGGACAGCTATGACTTTTGTAACTCTCAACTTTAACATAGAGTTACGACAGCTGCAGTGCTATGATTCTTGTAACTCTCAACTTTAACATAGAGTTACGACAGCTGCAGTGCTACGACTCTTGTAACTCTCAACTTTAACATAGAGTTACAACAGCTGCAGTGCTACGACTCTGTAACTCTCAACTATAACATTGACTTACGACAGCTGCAGTGCTAGGACTCTGTAACTCTCAACTATAACATTGACTTACGACAGCTGCAGTGCTAGGACTCTGTAACTCTCAACTATAACATTGACTTACGACAGCTGCAGTGCTATGACTCTGTAACTCTCAACTATAACATTGACTTACGACAGCTGCAGTGCTACGACTCTGTAACTCTCAACTTTAACATTGACTTACGACAGCTGCAGTGCTACGACTCTGTAACTCTCAACTTTAACATAGAGTTACGACAGTTTCAGTGCTACGACTCTGTAACTCTCAACTTTAACATAGACTTAGGACAGCTATGACTTTTGTAACTCTCAACTTTAACATAGAGTTACGACAGCTGCAGTGCTATGATTCTTGTAACTCTCAACTTTAACATAGACTTAGGACAGCTATGACTTTTGTAACTCTCAACTTTAACATAGACTTACGACAGCTGCAGTGCTACGACGCTTGTAACTCTCAATGTTAACTTAGACTTACGACAGCTGCAGTGCTACGACTCTTGTTACTCTCAACTTTAACATTGACTTACGACAGCTGCAGTGCTACGACTCTGTAACTCTCAACTTTAACATAGAGTTACGACAGCTGCAGTGCTACAACTCTTGTAACTCTCAACTATAACATTGACTTATGACAGCTGCAGTGCTACGACTCTGTAACTCTCAACTTTAACATTGACTTACGACAGCTGCAGTGCTACGACTCTGTAACTCTCAACTTTAACATAGAGTTACGACAGCTGCAGTGCTACGACTCTTGTAACTCTCAACTTTAACATAGAGTTACGACAGCTGCAGTGCTACGACTCTGTAACTCTCAACTATAACATTGACTTACGACAGCTGCAGTGCTAGGACTCTGTAACTCTCAACTATAACATTGACTAACGACAGCTGCAGTGCTAGGACTCTGTAACTCTCAACTATAACATTGACTTACGACAGCTGCAGTGCTACGACTCTGTAACTCTCAACTATAACATTGACTTACGACAGCTGCAGTGCTACGACTCTGTAACTCTCAACTTTAACATTGACTTACGACAGCTGCATTGCTACGACTCTGTAACTCTCAACTTTAACATTGACTTACGACAGCTGCAGTGCTACGACTCTGTAACTCTCAACTTTAACATTGACTTACGACAGCTGCAGTGCTACGACACTGTAACTCTCAACTTTAACATAGAGTTACGACAGCTGCAGTGCTACGACTCTTGTAACTCTCAACTTTAACATAGAGTTACGACAGTTTCAGTGCTACGACTCTGTAACTCTCAACTTTAACATAGAGTTACGACAGCTGCAGTGCTACGACTCTTGTAACTCTCAACTATAACATTGACTTACAACAGCTGCAGTGCTACGACTCTGTAACTCTCAACTTTAACATAGAGTTACGACAGTTTCAGTGCTACAACTCTGTAACTCTCAACTATAACATAGAGTTACGACAGCTGCAGTGCTACAACTCTTGTAACTCTCAACTATAACATTGACTTACGACAGCTGCAGTGCTACGACTCTGTAACTCTCAACTTTAACATTGACTTACGACAGCTGCAGTGCTACGACTCTGTAACTCTCAACTTTAACATAGAGTTACGACAGCTGCAGTGCTACAACCCTTGTAACTCTCAACTATAACATTGACTTACGACAGCTGCAGTGCTACGACTCTGTAACTCTCAACTTTAACATTGACTTACGACAGCTGCAGTGCTACGACGCTTGTAACTCTCAACTTTAACATAGAGTTACGACAGCTGCAGTGCTATGATTCTTGTAACTCTCAACTTTAACATAGACTTAGGACAGCTATGACTTTTGTAACTCTCAACTTTAACATAGACTTACGACAGCTGCAGTGCTACGACGCTTGTAACTCTCAATGTTAACTTAGACTTACGACAGCTGCAGTGCTACGACTCTTGTAACTCTCAATGTTAACTAGGACTTAAGACAGCTGCAGTGCTACGATCCCTTTGTGAAACAAGCCCCGGTTCCATGTGAACATAAAACAAAAGGTTAAGCAACATTCATGATATGTGCAACTGTACCTGCCCATGCTTTCAGAAACACAAGCACCACAGCAAGGATAATCATCGCCACAGCAAGGACAAGGATCGGCACAGCAAGGACAAGAAGAAAAGCTCCAGCAGCGGCAGCTCCAGCCGGACCATGGATCAGCTACGTGCAGAGCGGTTGCGGAGGGAGGCAGATGAGAGAAAGAAGACGCAGATGCTGATGGCAAGGTTACGCGGAGACGCACCTCCCGAACCTGTGGAAGAACCTGTTAGTGATCGGCAACGGAAATATAACTCCCAGTATAATCCAGAGTTTGTTCGGCAGCCGAAGAAGAAATCCAGACCATCTGATGTGTATGACTAAGTGGCAAATATACATGACAGTTTAGTATTTGATGGATCCTTGAAGGAGACTGTTTCAGTGGAAGTATTATCAGTTGGGGATTTTATGTGTGCATGATTGATTGATGCTGGTCGTCAATAAAATACCACTTTGAATTAACCAATGTTTGTTTGTTTGTTGTTTAATGCCACACTCAGCAATATTCAGCTATATGACGGCAGTCTGTAAATAATCAAGTCTTGACCAGACATTCCAGTGATTGATATCATGAGCATCGATCTACGTAATTGGGATACGATGACATGACCACCCGATCCCGTTTCATCTTACGACAAGCATAATCGCCTTTTTACCCATCAACCAATGAGATTGAGTATGATGTGGATCATAGAGGATCATAAAGCACAAGGCAGAACAACATGTGAGTGTGCTTGTCAAGTGTTTTCAGTACAATACAGATAATCAGTACATCACTACTAATCTATTTATGAGGCAGATGTATAACAGCCCACTATTTCTGCTGGGGCCCCACAGATACTTGTTTTAGATATATTGTTTGATAGGCATTACTTAGAAGTTGACGGATGACAAGGTGGACACAATTTCTTTAATACTGTAAAAGCGATGTTTCAGTATAGATCCTTATACCGTTGTCAAGCAAGACTGAATGAGGGACATTGTACAGAATATATATAGTAGGTGGAGGATTAACAGTAGAGGCCTTGGGGTTGAGTCCCGTCCGGGATTCGAACCCACACTGCCAGAGTGTGGCACTAATCGCCAGCACACAAAGTCAGTGATCTAACCCACTCAGCCACCGAGGCTTCCACAAAAATGAAATTCCGACAACTGGTACTTTTCTCAGAAAGTGTTATCCCAAATATAACATTTGTTACATTTGACCACTTTCTAAAAGGCACTGTGTGTTCATTATTATATAATATTGTTGTAGTTATTTTTCAGTTACATCCGTGTTTAACTTTATTTGAAAAGAAGTAAATGAAGCAACTGCCCCCAAACTTCATGTCAACTGAAACTCATATTTATTTATTTATTTTTATTTTTTTGGAGGGGGGGGGGGGGGGCTAGTTACAATTTCATCCCTTCTCTGTGTATGCTTAGTGTTTCTACTTAGATATTTTAGCTATCCCAACTTTCGAGAGGTATGCAATACTGATAAACTTATTGTACTTTTTAAATATTATGTATATTTTACAGCCAAAACCTGCTTTTTAATTCTCCAACGAAGAAAAAATATTTTATATGGCTAGTTACGGGTAGTATATTTTCATACCCCTTTTACACCAATATATTTATGCTGTACATACTGTGATATATTTTAAGTCTCTCGTAGCCCTTAACGGGTGGCTCAGTTTTATGTCCTTTTATATGTATTTATTTAATTATTTCTGTGAGGTGAGACTCAAATAAACAATCTGTCTGTCTTTCTGTATATCTTTGTAGAATGACAACCGGCTGCCATTTTGTAATGTGTACAACAACATCTTTGTTTGCTCATTAATCACCAGGAAATTGACCTCGGGTTCACCAGTTAGTTAGGAGAAGGACCAGTAACTTTTAAAAGGAGCAAGCCCTGCTGGCTACATACAAATTTGTTTTTAAATCTACCCTTGTAATCTCGGGTTATTATATGGCTGAACATGAAATTTTTATACGAGTCATAAGCAGTCATGGCACACCACTTGCATTTTTCCATCAGTATGTAGTAAAATGAAAAGGAATCTGCCTGTAATGAAATTGGTGTTCTGTTTTTCCTAATTCTCTTCCATTTAATGAGTGAACGATACACTGCAGTCACCAATACTCCAGCCATCACACCCCCGCCCGTAAATAAGCAAGTCTGGGCCAGTGGCTGCATGAATACAGATCCACATTTAGTGGCGTGGTGACCCCCATTCAGCCAGGTCACACATAGTAACCACCTGACTCTCAATTGTGCCGACTGCCTCAATAGTCTAGTGGTAGTGTCCGCCGGGAGAGTCGAAGGTCCAGGGTTCGATCCCCGGCTGCGTTATACCATAAGACGTTAAAAGATGGTACTTGTTGTTACCCTGTCTTGCACTCGACATTAGGGGATTAAAACAAGGACTGGTCGGCTCAGAGTCAGTATACTGTGTCTGAGTGGGGTATTCATGTTAGACTGCGGCATGGTATCTCAGTGGGCTAGTACTATAAAACTGGCATTACTCGGGACTAATACAAGCAGCCACACACACACACACACACAAGCACGCACACACACACACGCACACACACACACAAACACACATGTGCATGCACATCACTATATAAGTGCAATAATCTTGAAGCCAGTTAAACCCCATTTCACCTCATCTCAATTTTGCACTCATAAAAGTATTTAGGATTTCCCAAGGAAGAGCTGGGTTAAGATTTGGTCTTCAGCAACCCATGCTTGTCGTAACAGGCGACTAACATTATTCGGTGGTCGGGCTATCTGACTTAGTTGATGCATGTCATCAAAGCCCTATTGCCTGAAGAGGTCGTAAAATATGTGAAACGTACTCCATTAACGTTCAGTTTTGTGGGAAGTGAGTGCACGTGAGTGGTTTTACTCCGCTTTTGCCACCTTTCCACACAAATCGAGCCGTGCTCACAGTACCAAGGGAGTCGGTCAGTTATAGGCACCAGAAGTGGATACAATGGCCTGTTAATCCTGACATGCAGAACATTTCTTTGATAAAAGGCCTGAAGGTTCCAACATGTTAAACCTATGCATACTAGTTCTGACATCAAACATCGTTGTCTTTATGATTTTGGGTGGTGAGGTGAGGTGAAATGGGCGGGGTTTTTTGCTCGCCCACTAAGAAACCAGGTCGAGCGCCAGGCAGGACGCGACCGGGAATCGAACCAAAGACCTCAGATATCCGGTCGTTTCTATCCTTTGACTTTAGAGGGCAGGGGTGGCCCAGCCGTCTAAGGCGCGGCGATTCGCTATGCAGAGTTGCGTCCCTTGGACACGCCAGAAACCTACGATTGTGGGTTCGAATCCAGGCTCGCCCCGATTATGTTTCTATGTTTGTCAGCACTAAACCCGTGCTCGTGGGTTTCACCGAAGTGGTAAACGTCTGAGACATGCATCACTTGGGGCTTTCTTCCCACAATAAGCTGACACGCCGTGATATAACTGGAATACTGTTAAAAGCGGCGTTATACCCAGCTCACTCACACACTCCTCTGACTTTATCTTGCCGAGAAATCTACCCATTATATGATAAAGAAACTTGATCAATAATGTTTTCAATGTCAGATCTCTAACTCAGACCCTGGTATTACAAATCCAAAAGAGTATAACAAAATGTTCATATCACATCCTTGAAAAACACCTTGTAGCATAACCAAGTGTTGAAGGCTGTGGTTTTAGGATAAAGGAGGGGCAGTGAGGTAGCCTAGTGGTTAACGCGTTCGCTCGTCACACCGTGGGCCCAAGTTCAATTCCACCACATGGGTACAATGTGGGAAGCCTTTTGCTAGTGTCCCCCGCCATGATATTGCAAAAATATTGCTGACAGCGGCGGAAAACCATACTCACTCATTAGGATGCTCTACACTTTTAACAAACGCGCTACCTGCCATTTGCAGTATATTTAATTCTATAAAATTGATGGATATAACGAACATGCTTATATCGAAATAACAGATATAGCGAACTCACTTTGTCACTTTGTTGTCCCGTGTGTCGTCTGTCAAACAATGTTTATTTTAATAACGAACTGTAAATATCTGGTCTGTTCATGTTTTATCAATCAGCCAATCAAAACATCCGTGGCCACGTGCGGCTGTTAAAAAGCGGTTATAAACAATTGAAGGCAGGTGATTAACAGGATTAGGTACAAACACCTGTCCTCCTAAAATAATACACTTGATTAACAATAGTAATACGGTGATTTGGCTATAGCTATAAAGTGGATATTTTCTGTATCTAAAATGCATCGGCTAGAGGCAACGTGACTTGATCCAAGATGTCTGACAGTCGAAATGCTTGTAACGAACTACGGTTATAACGAACTAAAATTTTAGATGACTAATACATGTAGGCTTTTGTTCCTCCGATGTTCTGGTTAGACAAAAGTGTTATGGTTTCGCCAACATGTTGTTCAGGAAAATAAACAAACGAAGGTAGAATCTGAGTTTCCAACCTACCATCAGCACATCCTGGCGCGACTAAGCGGCACAACTCTTTGCTTCGCTTTCGACGACAGGACCCCGTGCTTCCGAATGTTTAAAATACCTTCATGAACTCATACACAATACCTTAGGTTCGAAAATGTATTTGCACTAATACATTCGGCGCTTTCTGAAGTAAGCTGTTCCAATAAAAGGAAAGCTTAGTTCGGAGACATTAAACTGAATGAACCGAGTGTAAGAATTCACGGAAGGTATGCATATATTTATTACCTATTTAAACTTTCCAGCACACAGTATTCCACGGTCATACCGTACAGCGAATAGCTATACTATCACTGGTTGACTCTGAATACAGGCCCATTCCACCAGAGTGCTTTGTCGCGCAAATCGGTGTTAGCCAGTTAATTTGTGAGCAGTGCTCATTGTGGAGGGTTTATGCTTACTGGATAGAGGGATTAGTGGCTTAACTAACACATCACACACGCGAGGTAAGTAAAGCCTCGTATATTATATTCGAGTTTTTAATCGAGTTTTAATGTGTTGTCTTGTGATAGCCTTGACGTAGTCGTGATATTCTGAACTCTTCCTGATGAAACACTTGTTTGATGCAAAGCTACGCGGTAAGTGTGGAAATGTGAACGAGTTGTAGAAGAGATGTGGTAATAGTTCCATCACCTCTGTGTGTGTGTGTGTGTGCGTGCGTGCGCGTGTTTGTGTGTGTGTGTGTGTGTGTGTGTGTGTGTGGCTGCTTGTACTAGTCCATACTTCTGTTGGATTAATAGTGCTAACCTACTAAAATACCATGCCGCAGTTTAACCTGGATACCCAACTCAGACACAGTATACTGACTCCGAGCCGACCAGTCCTTGTTTTAGCCCCATAATGCCGAGCGCCAGGCAGGTCCCAACAAGTACCATGTTTTAACGTATTGTTTTATGACGTGGCCGGAGGTCGAACCAGCAGACGCTCTATCCACTAGACCACAGACGTAG